TGTTTTTTCTGATATTTTGTCACATCAATGTAACCTAACACATCCTCTTGGAGAGTGACTGCTTTGCAAGACATATTTTTAAATGCTGATTTATCTGGTCCTATGTTTGAAAAGATAAATGTAGAAGTTTTTGTCTTTTCAAATTACATATAATTAAGCTTGGAGGAAGCATGAAGGCAAGTAAAAGAAATATATCTGGGTGGTATTGGTAGAAAAAAGATTTCCTTTCTAGTCATTATCTCTCTGTCACACACACACACACACACACACACACACACACACACACACACTGCTTGTTCCATGGTTCCTACTTGGTTCTGAAAGAATATTTACTTTAAAAAGTGACTTAAAATCACTTAAATCAAATTGGTGATTAGAAATGTAGTTCACATGTAAAACTTCATTGGAATTAGATCAACCTCAGACAATGTATAACAAAGCGAACAAAAACAAAGAAAACAAACAAAAAACTCTCTTTAGCCAAAGGGACCCAAAGGACTCTCCTTCAAATGTGGAGTGGAGCAGCAGCTTGTAAAACTGTGCTCCCTTACGATTTTAGAAATTGAATTCTACTGATCTTTAACTCAATCAGATTAATTTAATACAAAATGAAGACTTTATTGAAAGGATTCTGGGTGGCATACAGAAGTACAGAAATACCTCCAAGCCCTTCGGATGACATCAATAAATTTTTACAACTAAAGAGTCTTTTATGCTTTGCCTTTCATTTCTTTTCTATTAATTTCATTCTCTTGCCAATTTTCCACAATGAGAACTTGGGCATTAAATCAGGGGACCACATCTGTCCTTCCAATGGTGGGGCCATAAAGAAAAAGAACAAAGGTAGTTTCCTTCAGCAGGATGCCCCTGGGCAAGGACTCATTGGTTTGGCTTTGGTCATCATTCTTGGTCCAGTCACTATGGCCAGAGAATGGAGATGGTACATTCATCACAGACTGAGACTAAAGAATGTGACTATTCATGTATCAAGAGAGAAGATGATGTATTGAATAAGACAAAAGAAAATAAACACAGGCTCTTAGAGACATTCCAAAGGATAACTATTTTGGGCAGTGTGTTTATGTTAAATATTTAACAAACATTTAAACATCTCATTCCCAAGTGTGTCATGTCTCTTATAATCTAAGTTTACAACCGATTTCCCAGTTGCTTTTGTTTCTAATAACAATCAAAATTATTTAAGGCTTCTTCCTAATTATTTTTTCCATTTGTTAAATCTCAGTACAGTTTAGCATTTGTGGGAGACACTGTACTCAGCATCTCTTCCGACCTCTTTTGGAAATCCTCCCACTACTGCAGTCTGGTAGGCAAGCACTTTATTTTATAGCCTCTTTGCTTGTGGGTTCTAGATGTGCTTTAGGCTCTGCCAAACAGAAGCCCTGGTGGGAGACTCAAATTTGGAAATGAGTTCATTGAGGAGCGAAGCAGGGCTGGAGGGTGTTCATTTTGCTGGGACAGATTGTAGTATCCTTGATGTGGTTCTGGAGTGAGAAACTGAGGCAGCAGCTGCCCAATTTGGCACGTGGCTTCTGGATCACAGCAAGAGATGCACTTCATTGGTGGCTACATTATGCACTGAGGCTTTGGGATGTGTTTCTGGAGCTCGATCTAGTGTGTTTTTTCAAACCTTCTCAATGATTACATAAGTCATAGAATAGGCTGTAATAAATCCCTTTGTTATTAGTATCTTGAATAAATTATGTTTCCTGCAATTGAACCCTGGCTGATAAAAAATAGGAATTAGTTTTTAAAACAGCATTTTTAATAATTGCTTTATTTTTCTTAATAATTGCATAGACACAGAATACAGGGTGAGTTTGGTATCATTTGTTGCCTTTGGTGGAGAGGTTAATTACAAGATTATCAGACTTCCTGATACATGATGGGTTGGATTCACAGGGAAACCTTTGTTATTCAACTTGCCTGGGCTGACTTTGACACTTCAGATCCATCCTGTAACATTCTCACAGCTTTTCTGTGCCCTTGGACTGACTAGCAGTAATGGCCTTCAATACTTTTAGGGTAAGTTGTCTTTTTGACCAAGTTCTTTGGGTCAATTAATGAGTATTTATTTTAGCTTCCAAGTGTATCACATGCTCGGTCTTTTCATTATGTCTTGGAAAGTGACACCATACCTTACATATTTCTAGAATACTATGGGCACACCTGAATTATAGAGTGTCTGTACTTCCATCCCTCTTTAGGTTAGCATTCACCTTACGAAGTGTCCTAGCTTACACAATACTCCTATCTTTGGATTGTCTTTCTCCTTAGAGTGTAAACAGTAATATTTATTAAGCCCATAGTGTACACTGACTACCTGAGGATTTATAGATCAAACACCACAAATAGAATGGCCTCTCTGAGGCATTCTCTGCACTAAATATCCATGTTTTAACCTCTAAGTTTGTGAGTCTCGAGTTCTCCATTGGTAAGAGAATGTAAGGGAATGACCTAGACAGCTGTCAATAACCACAGTGAAGTTCAGGCTCTGTTTCTCTTTTCTCCTCTATCTGCATCATCTCCAGGAGTGCTTCCAGGATCCAGAACTGTGCTGATGTTGCCCTGTTTTGTAGCCTGACCCTTAGAGATACACAAATTCTGTTTTCTGCTTAAAGTGTAGAAAAGCTTCTTTCAGTGTAGTAGTAAAATTTTTTTTAAAAAAAGAAAATTTCCTATAAAGTTTATCATCTATCTCTGTATCTATCTCTATTCAAGAACTACAGTATAGACTTCCTCTGAGTGGAATTCAGAAATCTTTTCTTTTTAAACAAGCTTCTTAAATTATTCTGACATTATTTTGGTTGCATTTACTGATTGCATCTGCATCTATGAATACATTACTGATTACAAGAAAAAGAAGTGAAAACACTCCACTAGTGTGCGTATTTTATTTAGCAGTGGATTTAAAAGGGATTAAATGAAATGAATACTATAAATTTTTACTTTTTATGATTTTGCTATTTTCACCTTTCAGGATGGAATCTGTCACACAGATTCTATTAAATTTAGCAACTTACCACTAGGACTAGAAGCCCAAGGAGAAAAACAAATCCAATATAATTTACAGAAAAAGTCCTGAATTTTCACTAATTTAGCGCAGTTTAGTTCTAACATCTTTGGCTGATTCAGTCTGTCTCTCTCCCTCCTCTCGGTCCGTGTCAGTGGAGAGGTGGGTAGTGGAAATGAAACAAAGATGTTCACATTTCTGCCCCTAGGCAGCCTTGGATTGGCCCTGCTTTGGAGCCGGTCAGTACTGTGGGTCTCCCTGGCCGCTCTGGTGTGAGGCCCTTCTCTGCACCGGCCCTGACTCCTCCAGGCTTACTCTGACCCCTGCCCTAAGAGTTCTGCCTCTTCTTTTGCTTCTCTCCTTCACTTTGGGCTTCTATCATGCCTGTGTCATCTTCTCTATCTATAAAGGATCTGTCCCTCCTCCAACTCCCCTTTCATTGTTTTTTTACCAGGGGGTTCAAATCCAGTCACAAGTTTCCTTATCTGCCATGATTCTGTCTTCCTCCTAACTTTGGTATCAGTCCTTTTGGAAACCAGAAAATGAGTCATTATCCTTAAGTGAAAATTTCCAGCTAGCATTAATTTCTCATTAACATCTTCTTTGGGTAACAGTCACATTTTCAGCTCAATTAAGAATCAAATCTTTTGCCCGGCATGGTGTCAGAAGCCTGTAATCTCTACCTCAGGAGGCCGAGACAGAGGATCACCATGAGTTCAAGGCCGGCGTAGGCTACATAATGAGCTCAAGGTCAGCCTGAAGTACATAGCAAGACCCTGTCTCAAAAAACAAAACACAAAACAAAACAATTTGTTTGTAGCTTCCTTTCTGTAATTTCTTTAACACTCATCCATCTGTTATTTTCCTGATGTGTTTAACCATCCCAATCTGACGGTTTCATCTAGGTAGTTTATCCACTCACACATACTGGCAAGGAGGTAAAGGTATGGATTTGGGGCAGACTCTTGAGAATGGCTGCCTAGTCCTCTGTGGAGATGAAGTCTCAGCTCGGAAGGAGCCGAATAAGACCAGATGAGGGCTCAAGACGTGCTTTCAGCCCCCAGGTCTTGGAATTACTGCAGGCTTGGGTTACTGTGCACCCTTTAATTTAATTCCTAAGTTACATCCCCTCCAGTTTTAGAGCTAGTGTTTCTTTGACTCAAAGGTCCTCTGAACATTCCTTAGACAACTTTATAAGTGGCCTAATAGGTTCGCCTGCAGCTGCTTGTAAACACAGAAGGCCAGGATTCCTGATCCTCGGGGTGGCGTCGAGACCACCTCTTCTTCACTTGCTTCGATTTAGTTCAAATCCACACCCCTAAGGAAGGGTTAGGAAGGGGAAAAGGGGATTTGGGGGAGATAAGGCCAGGCAGGTAGCCTGATGTTTGAGACTACCTGAACAATTTCTTCGGTTATCACAGTCTAATTTTCCAATAGACTGCAGGCATTCCTAGAAGCACATTGTTTACCTAAACCAACCTCTGTCAGCCTCACAGTGCTCTGTACTGAACACATATGGATGTGCACAAATGACAGTTTCCGGAGACTGGGCTGAACCTTCCCTCTACAGCCGCTCCCAGGTAACCATGAGAAACGCCATAAGGTTCAGAGTTTCATAGCCAAGCTCTGTACTTCCGGGTTCCCGTTGCTCAGGCGGGCCAACTGCCCTCAGCTCATTTGCAGATGTCACAAGACGGACAGAGTGCCACTCCAATGAGCGTCGAGCCGTTGCAGGCTGAGTCCAACGGGCTTGAGGGACCCCTAGGCTGGGTGGCCCAGGAAGCCCTGGTCTCCGGGTGCCTAACTGAACCTGTGTCCTCTGCGCGCTCTAAGTGCCTGCTGTGTTAGCGGCTAAACAAAGCACGTTAAAAGACACGCGGGGGGAGGGGAAGGAGGAGTGGGGAGGGGTGAGGCACAGAGCGAGAACCCGCTTCCTAAGGGGGTGCGCCCGCGCCTGGCCCCTCAGATCCGCCCGCAACCTCCAGGCTGCGGGCGCTCGTTTCACACCCTGTGCCCGGGACCCTGGCCCCGGCGCCGGGCCGCGCCCCAGGCTTCCCCTCCGCCCGCTCCGAGGCCTCACTTTCACTTTCGGTCCCGCACGGCCAGGCGGGCGGCGGCGGAGCGAGGGTGAGCGGCGCGGCGCGGCGCGGGTCCCAGGTGCGCACAGCCCGCTCCTGTGCGCCCCGACTTGGTGCGCCTGCGGGTCGGGGCGCGGGGAAGGGGAGGCGCGCGGGGAGGGAAACGCGGGGATCGGATGGCGGCACGGAGGGGCCGCGCGTGGCCGGCGCCGCCCCGCGTCCCTCCCTCCGCGCCCCGCCTCGCCTGGCGGGGCTGCAGACCGCGGGGGGCGGCTGGGCGCTGGCCTGAGGGGGCGCAGCTCCCCGGAGTCGCCCCGGGGGCCCCGACTTCAGGGCGGGGCTGACTTCGGGGCCGGGGCTGGGGGTGCTGGGAGATCCCGGGCCACGTGCGACCTAAAGGTCCATTTTCTCCGCGCTGCTTTTGGGGTTCTTGCCGGCGATTCTGTGCCCTCTGCTCCCCGATTCTTGCAGAGTTTCGTTCGGGAAAGCGCTTCTGCTTGAGCAAAAGAAAAGTTTCTGGTTTAGGCCACTCACTAGCCGGGGAGGCCTGGGGTTAATTTGTAGGAGGCAGGGGAAAACGCACATTTCCATTTAGGGCTGCGTGCAGGTTCTTTGTGTAGACCTGGTTCAAAAAAGAAATGCTGCTTTCCGTTAATCAGGATGTGGTCAGCAACTGAAAACAATATTTTTCAAAAAACTGGCACGTCGCCATTACCCCCAAGGACGCGGAAGTGTGCTGAGAAGTGGCCCGTTTTCAGGTGGGCCTAAATAGAAAACTGGCTTTGTTTTTTTTTTTTAAATTCAAATTAAAAGTTATTTTCAGTGCTTTTTAATTCACTTCGTTGTTCAGAAAATTTTGCATTGTTGCTAGACCATCTCTAAAAAGAGAGGCAAGAAATAGCTGAACTTTTTTGGGACGTGGGAAAAGGTAAGTGTGACCAAGAGCATCCCGAGGAAGATTCACTGAGGACACTGACTGTGAACGGTAGTTCAGTGAGATGTCAAAAAGGAAAATCCTTTGTAAGACTTTGAAATAATACAGTCAGGTCTGAGAAAGTACTTTAAAACCTGTACCTCTGTGGTATCAACCTGTATTCAACTGCCTGCCTGAAATTTCCTTTTAGATGTCTGGAAGGTATCATGAATTAAACATTTTAAAAATGAATTTAAAATTCTGTCTCTCCCTTTAAAATCTGTTTTTTCTGGCCCTCTCCATCTCCACAAGGTACCCCCCCCCCAACTGCCAGATTTCATTCTAGAAAAGGTAGCAGTGTCTGATGATAGGTTCTCTCCCTCACCCGCCTCTTCCGGTCCACCTTCCTGTCAGGCACTGAGTCCCTCCTCAGAGCCCCACAGCCACCCGCGCCCCAGGGCACTAGCCTACCTTCGCTAGTTGGAACTAACTTGCTGTTTTCTACCCTCCAACAGCCAGAGCCATTTTATTGAAATGTAAATTGGATCCTAAAGACAGTCCTAAACCCTTCTAGTGGGTTCTCATGATCCTTAGGATTCCTCTCTAATCCTTAACATGCCAGCAGGGTGTGTGTGTCTTGATTCCTGCCCATCTCTCCAGGTGCCACCCTCTCCCCATGCAGCATTTGCTTTTTTTTTTTTTTTTTTTAAATAAGTTAAATAAAGTTAAATTTCTCAAGGTCACATAGTAAGAGGATGAGCAAGAATTCAAATGCAGGTTTTCTCTCTTGTCTGTATATAATTATGTATGCATGTGGAAGAGAGAGACAGACACACAGACACACAGAGAAGCAGATGGAGAGAACCTCCACATTGTAAAAAAAATAGTTCTTAAATAAAACAGTGTAGTTGTGATAACATGCAAAGGAAGAATGAGCAGTGCACCATGGGGATTGAGAAGTAAGAGAAAGGTTTAAGAGAACTTGGCCAGGTATGAATGTGAGAGTTTGTAACAACATGGGCTGCAGTCACACTTACATTCTCCTTAGCGTCACCTTGGTTAAGTTACATGGATGTTTCTTTCAGTTTCGCCTCATCAAAAATGGGAATTATAGCCTATTGGAAAGGCATGACACACCTGTACTGTGCCTGTGACTCTGTAGGTGCACAGTAAATATTCTTTCTATCTTTGATTCTGTCCTTTTAGGTATTAATTGGAGTATAACTTAAAGAAAAATCACACTTTTCTTGGGAAGGGGCTACATGTACTGCTTGTGAGAACCCTTGATTTGAGTTACATTCATCTTGGAGATTTAATAAAACTTGATCCTTAGAGAACACTCAGAACTGTGAAATGCTTTGTTTGAAACTTACCATTAGAAGCAAAGCCAGTTGCGAAGAGCTTATGTTTCAAGGGAGGAGCTAAACACACTGGACTATGATCACAGATTGTCAGTAATTACAAGGGAATTTCATCTGTGAAATAATTCCTAGAACTCAGGTTTCATTAAGTTCTTTTCATGTGCGAGATGTAGTTCTAGGTGCTGTGGGGAATACAGTGATGCATATATTCTTTTCTCAAGCAGTTTACAGTGCAGTAGAAAGATATTGCAAGTGCATCAATAATAGTATTACAAGTCAGGGCATAATAAGGCATGTTGAGAAGAACATAGAAAGTGTAAGTTACAAAGGAAGGAATTCATTACAGCTTGGAATATTCAAAGAATAGTTCCCAGAGACGCTTCCTTTGAATTGGATCTTGAAAGACTGGGGCAAGTTGTTGTAGAGAGAACCCCTGAGGAATGATATGGATAGAGAGAAGTCCTGGGGACTTTTGGAGAAAAACCAAAGTCCTTAGTGAGTCCTAGGATGCATATGGGTGGGAAATATTTAAGATACAACTGTAGCGTGGGTTTCCTAGACTGTAGGACATAAAGGCCTTTGGTTGCTTGGCTAAGGAGGGGTGAGGGTGGGATTTGAAAAACTATATTTTAGGGAAATTGCTCCATTTGATGACTTAGAGGAAACTGCATCTCAATGATTCAGTCTCAAACATTTGGTGAATGCCTGTGATGTACCACATCAATAAGACATGATCTTTGCCTTGAGGAGCTTTTAATTTAACAAAGAGAAACAGGCATGTAAAAATTAAGTCCACTAAAAGGTTACAGGTTTGAAGATAGACTGTGCAGGATTCAGTGGAACACTAAATGGAATGGATGAAAATGGTTGTGGCCAATTGTAAAATTCTTCTTGTTAAATCAGTACAATGTAGGCAATTTTCTTTTAGGAAAGACCTAGTATTTTCAGAAGTTTGCATCATTTTGTCCATTTATAGGTGAATACATTCTGACATTTAGGCTATCTATATTGCAGTCCATTTTGGCTTTCTGGACTGAAAATCTCCTTGAGATAACACCATATTCTCTTTAACCTCATTATGGATTAAACCTTGCAAAGCCTGTGATGTGGGGCCCCAGCACCCAACTCCTTCAGCAGCCTAATGAGCCTTTCTGTCACCTCAGGCCCTTGGGATTTTGAGAGCTTCCATTGGACCACTGGAGGACCCCCAGGGTACTCACATGCTTGAACCTGCCCTGCTCACAGAACTCTATTCTTGAAGCAAGAGCCTTACTCAGTAAGGCACTGCTGCCAGAAGTTCCAGATCGAAACGGTACACAAGTTACATTTGCTTTCTGGTCCCCAGCTTCAAGGGAAGTTCATTTTGTCCCTGCCCCCAGAATTCTACCTGAAGAGGTAGAGGCAGAAACGCTTTATCATATTGGTATTTAAAGATGAATCTTCTACTCTGAATTACTCCACTTTGCCATGGATAGGGAGTGAGTGCTGAGGGTAGGGTGCACATCAGGTGTTGCTTTGGGATAGTGTCCTGACACCCAGGGTGTAGGAGTTAAAGCCAGATTTGACAAGGATTATGATGGGAACTCTCAACCCTGGCTTCCCAGTAGAATCTCTGCGATGTTAAAAGTGATTTATTGACCTTATCGCCATAGGTTTCAGTTTAATTATTGTCCATAAGGATCTAGGCATCAGGAATTTGGGAAACTTCTGATATGTGCTAGAGCTAAGAACCACTGACATCTTAGAAAGAGAAAGTCGTGTGTACTACAATCCTTTCAAGAGATCCACAATGTAGGATAGTCTGAATGTCCATGAGTCAAAGGAATTGGAGGGAATTAGAACAAATTACCTGAGCTCACCTAATAGGAGTCCCTCCTTGCCAGCATTTGTTAGGGAACAGTGTTTGTATGTGAAAAAAGAATTATGCTTGATTCTCAGAGCATACATTTCCAACTCTTTGAAAATGCACATTGGTTTTGTGTGCCTTATCCTTTAACATGCAGTGCAACATACGGTCCGCTGTATGTTACGTCAGTGTGCTTAGAGCATTACCTTGAAATTATTTCCCTCCTTCCCTTGATAATAACCATTCTCCCTCAATTCCTTGGAGGTTCCCTTGTCTCCACTTCCGTTGTCCTCTTTCTTCCTTGTGCTTTAGTTCCTCCCCTGGTTACCCCACCTGAAATACTTTCAAGGCCCCTCTTCCTTTCCAAATCAGCTTGTCCTTCCAGCCACACACACACAGAGGCTGGTCTTAGGTGAGGCACCCTGCGGAGTCCCTGCAAGCCGAATCACTGGCTGTGAAAATAGCATTCCATTCTTCCCAGTACTACCTTTTAATATTATTCCTACAGTCCTCTACCTTCCTATACCATGTTTTATTATTTGTGCATAAATGTTTTCTGTCCTCCTAGAGTTTGAAGTTCTGAAGTGTGGTACCCATGTCCTGTGTTATATTCCATACGATGCTCAGCACACAGTCTCCTTGTAGCAGGCTTGACTATATCTGTTTGTTGAGAGAGAGTGCTGGTGGTTCATCAGTTTGTCACAATTATTGTGAAAATCACCATGAACTCTTTTAAGTCACTCTTAGATAAATAAATACTAAACTAATTTTTGACACGACAGTTTGACAAAGGTATTTGCTTTTCTGCCCTCCTCACTGCTCAGCATCTTCCTGTGCTTTGGAAATTCTCTCCTTTGTGAGGCTTGGTAGTAATCAAATCCTGTCTCCCACCATGGAAGCTGAGAGGCTCACCCTGCATTGCTTCTTCTGCCCACCTCCTTGGTACTGTGGACACTTCACCTCAGTTCAGACGTGAGACTTCACATGGGTCTGAAGCTCAAAAAAATGATGTCAAGTTGCAAGGGCAATGGAGACCTCACTCCACTGGAGATTACAGCGATGCCAGCCCCTGGTTTCGGGGCAGTGGACAACTTCTGCTGAGGTCCAGAGCTGCTGAGATTCTTCGATCAAGTTCTCCCCGATGCGCTTGATGCCTCCCATCTTTGCCTGCTTTATGAACCTAGTTTCCCCAAATCCCTGCAACTCTGGCATCATTATTGAACTGCCTGATGTCCTCGAGTAATTTCTCTTTTGCCTTCATCAACTAGAACTTGTTCTACTGCATTTGACCAAGAACCCAGGCTGCTAGCATTAAACACTGATAGACAAGTGATGTCTAGGTGTTAATATTGGTACTGATCATTATGTTCTTTGCTGATTAATAACATAAGGAAGGTAATTTTATTTTCAGGAAGATACCTAATATTTTGGAAGTTTGCATCTTTATCTGTTAATGCTGGGTAGGTAAATTCTGACATAGACATTTGATAGCACTTTAATGACTTTTTATTTTGCTTTTATACATTTGTGGTTCTAGGCAGTTTTGGCAGGAAGATGGTGCCTCTGGCCCTCAAGTGGCCACTTGCAAGAATGTCATTTCTACTGTCCTCTCTACTGGCTCTCTTAGCTGTGTCAACTCCTTCATGGTGTCAGAACAGTGACACTACATCTCCAAAGGCTAGCAATGGAGCTCCATTTCCTTGGAGCAAGATGCGACTTCCTGAGCATGTCATCCCAGTTCATTATGATCTCATGATCCATGCGAACCTCAGCACGCTGACTTTCCAGGGCACCACAGAAATCCAAGTCACAGCCAGCCAGCCCACCAGTGCCATTATCCTGCATAGTCACAACCTGCAAATTTCCAAAGCCACCCTCAGGAAAGGAGTAGGACAGGGGCCATCTGAAGAAACACTGAGGGTCCTGGAATATCACCCTCATGAACAAGTTGCTTTTTTAGCTGTTGAACCTCTCCTCGTTGGACTTCCATATACAGTCGTCATTGACTATGCTGGCAATCTGTCCTTGACTTTCCATGGATTCTATAAGAGCACCTACAGAACCAAGAATGGGGAAGAAAGGTAACTGAAACATTTTAAGTTTCAAGTGCTACCCATATTATATTATTTCATACTGCTTGTTTTTAAAACTCTCTTTAGTTTTGGTTTTTGCATTTTCTTTATAATGTTAAAAATGATCAGTGTTTTTTTCTTTGCTTTTTTAAATCTTGTTTTTCATTCTATACTAACCAGGTTTTCTTTCCTCCAGTTCTGTCAGACAACTATTTTTTTATTGAATTAGATTTGAGGCATATTAAATAGTTCTAATTTTTGCTATGCATTAGTTTCCTGGAATTGTGATAACAAAGTACCACAAACTGTGTCCTTTAAAACAAAACAAAACAAAACAAAAGACAAACATAAAACAGATACTATGCCAGCATGGTGTTGCTATAATCCTAGCATTCTGGCAGGCTCAGGAAGGGGGGTTACAAGTTCCGCCATCAACTTAACAACTTGGTAGGACTCTGTCTAAAAACAAAAATGAATAAAATTTTAAAAGAGCTGGGGAAATAGTGAAGCGCAAAGGTACCGGGTTCAGTCTCCAGTACCATGAAAAGTGGGTGAGGGAGGATATATTTTCTCACAGTTTTGGAGACTAGAAATCTGAAGTCGAAGTGTTAGCACACCTAGGCCTTTCTGACTCTGGATTTAATTCTTGCCTCTTCGTAGCATCTAGTGGTGGCCATTTGACCCTGAAACTCCTTACTGGTTGATTGACCACTCCCCTGTGTTTCCGTGTCCAGATTTTCATCTTTCTATCAGAGTGCCATATTGAGGACTTGAGCTTAGCACTCAGTCTCTTAAAATGAGTTCTGGTGAAGGTGTGAAGGTTTAAATAAGAGACAAGTACTATGGTTTTGTGGGAGTCCAAGAAGGTCAAAACTGTCAAGGAGCTAAGACAAAGACTTTTCTGGACAGCCAGTATTTATTGGATTTCATAGCAGGGTGTGCGTAGAGAAGTGCAGGGCACATCTGAGGTAAAAACTCATGAAAATGAGCAGGCCTTGAGAAGTTGGAACAAAGGCAGTAGACACTGCCAATTCAGAGAACTGTTTGATCTCGCTGGTTGGCAGTTTTGGTGTTCTTGAATCCTTTCAGTGAGAGCTTTATCTTGTCTACAGAGTCTGTGAGTCCAAAGAGCAACCTAACCCTTACACAGTCTGGTCCTCAACTGTGCCAGACATATTGGTTAAGGCCCAGCCTGAGGGCCTCATCTTTACTCTATTTCATCCACATAGTTGTCCTATTTCCAAAAAAGAAAGCTAGGGAAGTTAAGGACATTAAAATACCGTTTGAGGGGACACAGTTCACCCCATACAGCCCATTAGAAGGAATATTTTCAATTAAAACCTTTTTAAAGAGATTTCCATTGTCTTGTTCTGGTCATGTTTTAAGGAGAAAATACATATTTTTTCTAAGGAGAAGATGAATTTGAGAAATTTTATGCTAAATTTTAACATTAAAATTTCTTATATTGTACTGATTTGATATTTTATCAAGGTAAGAAGTCAGATGCTACAAATAGAATTTATAAAAAGTAAATTTTATGACAAAGCCCCACAAATAACCATTACTTCTACTTCAGGGTAACATTCCCTTCAGATTTGGCTCCATGTTTGCATGTTATTTATCCATTTTCTGTTTTACAAGGGAGTTTTAAAAATTTTTAATATCCTGGAAAGACGTTTTATGTCAACGGCTATCACTATGTATGACTTTACTCGTTTTATTAAAATGTATGTTTATATATTAATTTATGTAACTGGTTTCCCGTGTGTGGAAATGGTGTCCAACTTTTCAATATCAGAAATAATTTGATGAACATTCTTGTAAATCATTTTTTATAATCCCTAGAAATAAAATTGGTAAGTCAAAGAATCTACAAACTTCTGATAACCCTTGCTGATTTCACCCCAAATCAGTGCTGTGTATTAGCGTGGCACCGCCCTTATTTGTGCCAGTTTCATCAGTTAAGTTGAGAAACTGTTGATATGTTTGTTAGTGGATTTTTATTGTGTAAATTGCCTGTTCATGTCCATTGTCTAAGATTCCACGAGATCATTAACTATTTTCTTACTAGTGTTTTAAGAATACACTGGTTTTCAGGCGATTAACTCTTCCTCACATATTTTTCTAGCCATTGTCTCAGTGGCTTATTTGTCTTTTAACAGATGATACTCGTTTTTGTCATATAAAATACTTTTTCTTTTAGGTTTTAAAAATACTCGGTAATTAAATCCATCAGTCATATATTACGTTCAGAAATTAAGACACAAGTGAACACTGATTCTGGAGTCTCCAGTGCATCATGTTGAATTTTAGTTTCCTTTCTGTGATTACAGGGTGCTTGCATCCACACAGTTTGAACCGATTGCAGCTAGGATGGCCTTTCCCTGTTTTGATGAACCTGCCTTCAAAGCGAGTTTCTCCATCAGGCTCAGAAGGGAGCCGAGGCACGTGGCCATCTCCAACATGCCACTGGTGAGTCTGAAGTGTGTGCCCAATCACAGGGAAGTCTGGGAATTCTCTTTGGCTCTCACTACACCCAGAACAGTTAATATCCAGTTGATTTGGTTTGTTTTATTGCCTCACAGATAGTTGCTAACTTTTCTGTTTCATTTCTAGCCTATGCATGTGCTTGTGTTAAAGGAAAGTATATTTATAGCTTAAAAAAATAATAAAAACTTACCCCTAAAAATTTCCAGGTTTCAAGATGAATGACATTCTAGGTGATTAACACTAATGGGAGGGAAATTGAGTAAGGACCTCAGGTTTGCCCTTCACAAAACACTTTTAAAAATCTTTCTTTGTTTTATTTTAAAGGGAAAAAAACACAGGAAAACAAACAAACAAAGGAAATATATAACAACAACAACAACAACAAAACTTAAAACAATAAGCAATATAGAATTTCAAGACAAGATGATAGGAATTTAACAATGGTTGTTACATTGCATATTGTTATCTTCAAACAAGTTGCTCAGATTACAAGACATAGGTATGCAAATTGATCAAAGAATACGAGCACTAACAATATCTTAGCCATCCTATATTTATATATTTTTTTCCTTTTCCTTTCCTTCTTTGATCCTTTACCCCTTCCCAGTTGTTCTTTCCCTTTGAGTAATTCCTTTCCCTTTCACAGTATCTTTCCTACCTTTTGGATCTTAGTCTTTCAGTTTCTTATTCTAGGGAGACAATATGTTGTTTATACAGGCAAGTCTGACTTATTTTGCTTAGGAGTGTGGTCTCAAATTGATCCATTTACCTAAAAACACTCAAATTTATCCATCTTTACAGTTGAGTAGTACTCCATTGTATAAAAATACCACATCTTTTTTTATTCATTCCTTGGTTGGTGGGCATACGGGGTGTTTCCAAGATCTGGCTGTTACAATTTGTGCTGCTATAAGCAGGGGTGCACGTATATTGCTGTGGTATGATTTTTTTAGTTCTTCTGGGAAAATACCTAGAAGGGGAATAGCTAGGGCAAATAGGACTTCCAATCTCAGTTTTTTGAGGAATCTCCACACTGATTTCCATAGTGTGGCACCAGTCTACACTCCCTCCAACAGTGTAGAAAGTTGCTTTTTCCTTAAGCCCCTTCAGCATTTATTATTGGTAGATTTCATGATGTTGGCCATTATTTCTGGAGTGAAATATAATCTCGGTGTTGTTTTAATTTGCATTTCTTGACTGACCAATGATGTTGAACATTTTTTCATATATTTGCCATCTGTATTTCTTCATCTGAAAAACTGTGTATTCATCTCAGATGCCCGTTTTTGGATTGGGTCTTTAAATGCTTTATACATTCTAGATAGACATCCTTTGTCTGAGGGATAGTTGGAAAAAAATTTTTCCCAATCTGTGGGCTTTTTTTTTTTTTTTCACTCTGTGATTTCTTTTCATTCTTACTTCCTTATGTGATCTTTTAAGATTTTAAAGAGAACACTTTGTCAAATAAGGCCCGGTATATAGACTTTTTTTTTTTTGGTAATTTCCATGTAGTGTATTCTACTAGGAATAATAACTATACAATTTATATTGCAAAATTGGGCAGACAGAAGAAAGAAAAATGATCATTTCAGAGACCATCATGATGCTGAATTTTAAATAATAACAGGTCTCTCTCTTAAAAGAAACTGGTATTGTCCAATTTCGAAGCAGGTGTGGACAGTATCCCCTTTGATTTTTAAAAGTGGTGAGATGACTAGGGTAAAGGGAACAAATTACTCATTAGTGTCATTATCCCACTATGTGGTGGCTCACATAGCACCAGCAGGTCAGTCCTGCAGCTGTTGTGTGTCAACCCCGCAAGAGCATGTTTTGTCAGAGAAGTTCACTGTGGATGAGTAGGAGTGTAATAAGGTTTTCCCAGAGTCCTAAAGGGTGTCCAGCTTCATCCCCTTGATGGCCAAGGGAAGTTATGTGGAAGACACTGAGCCCCACATGCCAACGTCTCAACCTTAAAACCCTTACCCACCTTTGAATACCTTAGGGATCCCTTCCTTAAATAAAATTATGGGCCCTTATAAGGACTGTCCTCTATTAAAAGTGCTCTTTTGTAAATCTATCAGTTAAGAAGTTTGGTCCTTGTTCCCCACTCTGTATGTATCTTAGTTACTTTTCTCATTACTGAGACAAAATACCGGGCACCCAAAGTTAAAGGAGGAAAGGTTTGTTTACCTCACAGTTTGTAGAGGTTTCAATTCATACTAAGCTAACTCCCAGGCAGGGAGGCATGACAGAGGGCGGTGGTTCATGACAGTGAAAGACAGCAAAAGCAACAAGAGCAAAAAGGGGAGAGAACAAGCCTCTTTCCCTTACACTGTGTTCAGGCCATCTGCCACAGGGCAGATGTAGCACTCACACCTTCTCTGTGCCTCCCCTTTTACAGACTGAGGATGTTTAACAAAGTGAGGACCCTGGCCCCCTGTGAGTTACTTAGTTAAGCTTCTAAACGTCTCAAGTTGACACAAGGAATCAACCACTGCAACACCCTAGGGCATAAACAGCCTCCCTAGGGCGTATCCTCTACACCCTAGGATGTAGACCTGCTGAGTTACTACTTAAACTTCTAAACTTTGCAAATTGTGTGAACAATTACAGTAGGAGAAGACAAAAAAGCAATTATGCTACTTTCCTCATATAAATTTGACATAAAGAATATGCTTGCTAGATTAACTAATGGTCAGTTTAGAACATCCTCCTGTGGTAAAGGAGAATTGGAGGGGAAGATGCTATGTTATTGAGTCTCCTGTAGAAGTTTGTCATGCTGGCTTTCCTGTTATGAACTCAGCTGTTGTCATCATTAGAGGAGCACAGGCCCCTGTTGTCTGTGAGGGCAGCTGAGGTTCTTTTCAGGGGAGCTCTGGTCCTTACCTTGAGCATCACTTCTTGGCTCCAGTGCAGATCCCTCAGCCTGCTGGCATAGATCCTTCTCCCTGCTGGCGCAGATATTCTAGATTCCATCACTGACCTTTGGGCCTTCCCAGTGCAGATCCTTGATACAAACTTGCATGAGATTTTGTGCCTCCAGTTGGACTTATGGAGGATTTTGCCATGAGTTCTAGGACTTCAGCTGAACTTGAGCAGGACCTGGCCCTCAGCTGTATTTTTTCAGATCTCTAGGGTATGAATGGATCTCTTGCACTCCTGTGCATTTGGCTTTTGGGTGAATATTATAAAATAATCCTATTAATCAAGTGTTCTGTATTAATTGTATCCCCTTGAAAACCCTGACTCTGTAATATGTTTTTTCAAATTATAATCATTTCCCCCAAGCGATAGTATGACATCATACTCTGCAATAGAAGTGCCATTCTCTGAGTATCACAAATCTAGAAGAATAAAGAATAAAGGAACCAGTATGGGGTGGAGATATACAAGAGGCAAGATTAAGAAGGAAATCTGTAGGTTTGCAGAGAAATGGCAATAAGTTCTGGAAACTCCATAAAGGAACTGACTATAGTCTAAATCCTGGTATCCAGCATCCATGTGTTGAGAATAGGAAAATCTTTACTATAGCCTTGCCAGCTGGACATGAAAGCCTGTCACTGGCAGAATATAATGGGAGTAGCCTGACTTCTGGTTGCAGATAAGGAGCTGAGAGGGAAAGGGCTAGGAAATCAAATACTGTACTGTGTGTGTGTCATTGGAACTTCAAAGTGTTCAGGCAGTGAGTAGGAACGAATCATACTCAAATTTGAATTAGTATGCTGGAAATTTTGGTGGAGATTATATACAAGATATTTCAAAAGAAAAGACAGTTCAGAATTTTTAAGTATATATATATATATATATATATATATATATATATTCTTTAAGTGTATGTAGAAAATCAGTTTAAATGACCGAAAGTAGGCACCACAGCTGTTGACAGTGGCTATTATGGAGAAGAGTAGGGGCACAGAAATAGAGATGAGCATGGGGTTATACAGAAAGCCTGGCATTTAACTTGTCCAAAATCTCACTCCAACACTTACTGTTTCTGAGGCGTCAGATGTTCCCTGTGGGGAACATCTTAGACTGTGTCCTCATCAACCCTACTGTATTCACACAGCCACTCTTTGAATGTCCTGGATGCCAGGGAAGCAAGTCTGAGTTTGGAAGAACCTGCAGATCAGATCAGATCAGACCAGATGCTGGTTACTTTCAGTTGTAGAGGAAAACAGTAGCTCTTTTTAGGTGGTGCATGATTGATATATTTGTCCAGTGTGGAGTATGCTAGACATCACATTTCCAATTAATTAATTCTCAAACTTGAATTTAAGGACAAGCAGAACATGTTTGTGCAAATGCAGCAATCTCAGGTTTGCTTTGTCCTGTCAATGTTACCAATCCACATGTGATACATATGAGTCAGTTTGCAATCATCTGAATTACTTAAAAGAACTCAGCAGTTCAACTTTCTGAATATACTAAAAACCACTGGATTTCATACTTTATAAAGAGGTGAATTTTGTGGTATGTGAATTATATAGTTCAATTAAGAAAAAAGAGTGCCAAGGGGTTAGCTCAGCAGCACAAGCGCCTGCCTGGCCAGTGCAAGGTTGTGAGTTCGATCCCAGGTACCAAAAAACAATAAGTGTAATATAAAGAAAAAAAGAAATTGATCAAATGGCTTAACCCTAGTATCTAAATTACAGTCAGGTGTTAGCAAAATTTAAAAGTAATTATGGAAATGTCATACCACATGCATTCAGTATCATGTTGGGAAATTAGGGAAATGATTCGTTATAATATGTTTGGTGTAGTTGAATAATTAGATTACTTGGTAATTCGAGTTACTCTGCTTTTAGATGAATTCTGTGCCTATTGCCGAAGGACTGATAGAAGACCAGTTTGATGTCACTGTGAAGATGAGCACCTACCTGGTAGCCTTCATTATTTCAGATTTTGAGTCTGTCAGCAAGATGACCAAGAATGGAGTCAAGGTGATCCATGACTCACAGGGTGACCAATTCATTCTGGTTTTCCTGAGTTGTCCGGAAGTTGCCCTGGGAACCCTCTACCCTGGGAACCCTTTATCCCTCAGCAACACAGGAGTGTTGGTAGCCCACTGATCAGAGATGCTCATTTTTACAGCGAGTTTTAATACCAAAAATATGAAGTGAGCTCGGCTTGCTTGAGTCGCGTTCTGCCTGGCTCCACCACTAACTGGCTCTGACTTTGTTCCTACAGCGGTTTCTAAGCTTGCTTCTGGTTATTACTTGCTGCAGCCTGGAAGAACACATTGAAGACTGAGCAGGGGATGTTTGGCTGTATGTGAAAAAGAAATAAGATAAAGCCCCTGGACTGGAGTAGCAAAAGGCTTTGTGGGGAGAATATTTGGGCCAGGGAATTTTGAATACTGGAGAGAAACTCTTTATTCAGCGATCTTTAGCCTCTGATCTGGGATCTAGGGCATAATGGATAACCTATGTATTTGGGGCTGTATGTCATATCCCCAAATGTAAATATGCTTTGTTTTGAACAGAGGAAGGAATTCATTATTGTGAAGATATTCTATGTTTGTGCTGGTTTTCACCGAGGCCTGAATAACCAAGGCTTCTGTGATGAATTGGTTTTTGCTCTTCAAGTGCTGTGACTTCTTTACTTATCTGGGGATTTGAGAGTGGTGTTTGAGTGTTACATGAAAGAACCTTCTAAATTCAGCAGTAAAATTATTAGCAATTATTTTGGTCGCCTTTTGGAATCTTTTGTAAATGATTATTTTCATATTGTTTAATCTACATAATTTTTTTAGGTATTCTGTTTCTTAAAAACAGAGTAAACATATATTTTATGTTCTTTGGTGGTTGTGGTCATTAGAGATTTTGTGTATCTGATTTCATTTGACTCTTGCTCGTGGGATCCTGTTTCTTTGCGTATACTGTGAATTACATTTGTGAGCTTGTGGCCTCAGTCAAAGTAGATTCTTGCAGAGGATTTGTATTTGTTGCTGCGGGATGATTGAGATTAGCTGTCAGTGCAGGAACCACTTTACATGAAATTATTGGCTTTAGGTTTTTGGATTGCCTAGTCAGTGTGACTTTAGCTTCTAAACATGATGAGGATTAACTTTTAGCTACAAATTCTCTAAGAAAATTTTCCTATTCTCCTTTATACAATACCAAGGTTTGAATCGACTGGGCTTTTGTTTTTTGTTTGTTTTGTTTTGTTTTATTTGTAGTTTCTCAGTGTGTGGGATAGTGATTTCTAATTTACTTTTAACTAAGGGTATGCTCTGCAACATTTGGTTTTATGTACTTCTTGGACTTCCCAGCTGGGCTGGACCTGCATTCATCCTTTATTCCTCAAGTTGTTCAGTGCTCTGAGCTCTGTCCACCTGGGTTGTACTAGGGCCCACAGGACAGGAGCTGGCCATAGTGCCTGGCTGACTTTGGAGAGTTTACCACTTCCCTTTTGGCCTCTATGTCTGTCTATTTTTTGCCACTTTAAAAACACATGTAAGAAAACAATTTTTGTATATATTATGCAGCAGTGATGGTGGCTTGTAGAAGTAATCAGCATTAATATAAATATGGAATTCCTTATTGTGCTCTTTAATGTTGACAACCACACCCATCAGTCTGAAGCCAGCAGTGTCAGTGTTTGCTGTGGTTGTGTGGAGAAGCCACTGTGATATTTGACTATCTTTCCATGCCTTTCTCTTCAGGTCTCTGTGTATGCCGTGCCAGATAAGATAAACCAAGCAGCTTATGCCCTGGATGCGGCTGTGACTCTTCTAGAATTTTACGAAGATTATTTCAGTATACCATATCCTTTGCCCAAACAAGGTAGAGATCTTGCTCAGCTATGACAAGGTAGCATTTGATGACCTCAGTCAGGGATGAAACCCCTATATTTGGTGCTTCCCCATGATTTTCCCAGCTGCCTCCCAGCAAGTGTCAAAGGACTGGCACTTCTGAGAATCTTTTCCTCTCTCATCTGAACTTTCAGTGCTAATCAAAGCAGATCTCCATTTAGCTCCTACGGCACGGGGCCTGGGGACTGTTTTGTCTTCTGATCTTATTAGCTAGGCAGACAGCAGAGGGCAGGAGCAGCATTTTTATTTTATTTTATTTTTTTACCACCGCCACATGCTTGTCAAGGACATGGAAGGTGTTTCATCAGTTTTTTAAGTGAATAAATTTATACTGTGTAAGATAATCTGCATTTTCCTTCTTATAGAGCCTTTTAAACTATCTTATTTGAGTTTTTAAATATACGTGTGTATTGGGCATCCAAAAAAGAGATTACTGAGATAATTATTCAGATTTTTTTAGCCCTGCTACTCAAGATCTGAGAGCTAGAAATGCTCGCTAGAGACCTGAGGCGTAAGTTTGAGTGGGTCTCATTGTTAGGAAAATGACCGAGTCACGGAAGCCCTTTTTCACACTGGAGAAGGATTTTCCTAGCTGCAGCTTCATTGTGCTGCACGGGCTGTGTAGCTTGTCTTTTGGTCCTGATACCCATCCACTCTGATGCTTATTGTGCCTCGGTGAACATGTGGCTTTGACCCTGGTAATATATTGTGTTACTTTTTCCCCTAGATCTTGCTGCTATTCCTGACTTTCAGTCTGGTGCCATGGAAAACTGGGGCCTGACAACATATAGAGAATCCTCTCTGTTGTTTGATCCTAAAAAGTCTTCTGCATCCAGCAAGCTTGGCATCACAATGACTGTGTCCCATGAACTTGCTCACCAGGTACACAAGCTCAATCACACTTTTAAAAATGGTAGTTGAATGTTTATGTTGCTTTTGTGGGATAAATTAGATGATTCATATGGTTTTGTTTACTCTTCTGTCACTCCTGAGACAAAATACCCAACATCCAAAGTTAAAGAGGAAAAGGCTCATTGAGCTCACAGTTCATGGGGGTTTCAGTCCATAATTGGCTGGCTCCAGGGCAGGGAGGCATGGCAGATGGACACTGCAGAGGAGAAACGGTTCATGGTGGGCAGTAGGGAACAAGACAAGCAAAAGACTAGACAAGCCTCTTTCTGTCCCTTAAGTTATATCCAATATATTGCAGTTAGGTGGTGTGAAACTAATCAGTGGACTAATTTAGTAATAGTTACTCACCCTTAATCCTAGCACCCCCAATCCTGTCATTGCATCATGAATCGATCACACTGGATTCAGCCAGCTCTGAAAAAGCCTCACCTATGGCTGCATAAGTCTTTGGGGGACATCTATACATAAGCCATCACACATATATTTATAGTATTTTTTTCTCATAGCAAAATTACTCATTCAAAGCACTTACTTTCATATTTTATAATGTATGTTGGAAAGTGTTCATTTTTACTTTGAAAATGTTTGCTCTAAAATATGTTCACATTGATGCACTGACATTAGACATTTGAAAATGTTCCTGCCTGATTGTGTTGTGTTTTTTAATGCAAAAGATAACCCAGGCTGCATATAATTGAATAACCTGAGATATATTTCCTTTCAGTGGTTTGGGAACCTGGTTACTATGGAATGGTGGAATGATCTTTGGTTAAATGAGGGATTTGCTAAGTTTATGGAGTTTGTGTCTGTCAGTGTGACCCATCCTGAACTGAAAGTTGTAAGTTGCTATTTATGTTTTCACGTTTTAGATCAATGTGTTGTTTTCATCAATGTAGCTGGAGAAGATTATCTAATTTTTGTATAGAATTGCGTTAATAATTTTCTTGGGAGTTTAGCTATGAATTAGATTACAAAATTTCTAGTGAGCTTCCATGATACATCATGAAGACTTAAAACTTGGGTGTGAATCTATGGCTGCTATAAAGTAAGAGTTAAGTGGTATCTTCTCTTAATATCAAGAAACAGAAATAATGTGAACCTAAATGTTTCGGGTTGCTTTTCTAACCTTCAGGTTGCTTACTGCTGAAGTATTGGGTATAGTTTTCTATTATCTCAATAAAACCCTACTTGGCAAATCAGTTAAATTATGCTTAAGGTTACAGACTGTATTTGCGTGGACACATAAATCACAAGTTTAATTCTTTGGGACTCATGTTTATTGTAAGCATCATATTTTAAGCTTCAGATAATTGCATAAAAGATTAAAAATAAAATTATTTTAGGTAAAAACAACCAGTGATTTACTAAACTATAATTTTTTATTAGTACATACTTATTGGTTTCCATTTTACCTATTTATACCTGTAATTTAGTAATGCACAGTTATAATTCTAAAGTTCATATTATTATTATATTACAACTGGTCATAAATGTTTTCCTGTGTTTCCAAATAATGTTTAATAATATCAGTGATTATAGATGCTTATTATTCAACTGAGTTAATGTGTCAAATGAAGAAAGTTAGGGATGGACTTTATTCTCCTTTTTTTCTTTCATTGCATTATTTTAAAGCTAAATCTTTGCTTGAAATACTGTAGTACAAATGTTGAATGGAAATGTCAAAATCATTATGCATTTTATTTTCCTGTTTCATTGCTGTTTAGTTGTAGGAGTAGTGATTTTGTTTTTAAGTTAATATAAAATTTCTCTTGTTCTAAATTTATAAGTATTTGAAGAGGAATAAAATCTAAAATGCTTACCTGAAATTATTTTTTGTATGTTCTTTAGACAGCATAGTAATTTTGTTTTATTTCATAAAAACTAGCATTATGTGGCACAGGCATTGAAAGTGTAGACCTGTCGCCCAGGTCAATCAAATCATCGTCTTTTCCTACTTTTTCCTAATGGGTCACAGGTGCTGTTTTCTCTTCTTTTTGCTGTCTCATTAGGAAGATTATTTCTTTGGCAAATGTTTTAATGTGATGGAGGTTGATGCATTAAATTCTTCACACCCTGTGTCTACACCTGTGGAGAATCCCGCTCAGATTCGGGAAATGTTTGATGATGTTTCTTATGAAAAGGTAACAGTAGACTGTGAGGGCACATTTATTTACTGGGGTGGAGAGATATTATGGGGATGGGCATAGGGGTAGTTTTGACTTCATCAGGAACAATCAGATTGAATGCCTCCTGTCTTGACCTGTACTAGCTGGTATGAGCTCTTTTATACAAGTTTCACCTACAATCCTAAAGATTATATTATAGTAAATTCTTTATTTGCTCTTTGTTGGGTTAAAAATTCATGATCTTATGCCCTTTACTGATCATTCAACAGTAGGTATTAATTGGCCATGAATTTTGTACTGACCAAGCTTTATACAAATTGAGCTTTTTTTGCTTTTTGTTTTGAGACGGGGTTTCACCATGTATTGCAGGCTGGCCTTGACCTCACTGTGTAGCAGCCCAGGGTGGCCTCAAACTCATGGCAATCCTCCTGCCTCAGTGCTGAGATTACAGGCGTGCGCCACCACACCCTCTGTACCAATTAAAACTTCATGCTAAGCAAACTTTGTACTAACTAGTGTAGCTGCATTTTAAAAGGAATTATTGCAAAATACAGTATGTGCCCAAACTACAAACATCACTTATACATCTTTTCAGGGTGCTTGCATTCTGAATATGCTAAGGGAGTACCTTAGTGCCGATGCATTTAAAAGTGGAATTGTGCAGTATCTCCAAAAGTATAGCTATAAAAATACAAAAAACGAAGACCTGTGGAATTCTATGGCAAGTGTGAGTATGTTTTCTATATCTGTGCAATTGAGATTGACAGTTTTGCTCTCATTTTGCTTTTGCTATGTGCTGCTCCCTCTGAGAAGCATCACAGATATTTCCTATAGCAGCGAGAGTGATGTGCTTATTTGTGGTTTTAGATTTGCCCAGCAGATGATGCTCAAACCAGGGAGGGCTTTTGTTCCCGAGGCCAGCATTCATCTTCCTCCTCAGTAAGTCTCGTCCTCTGCTGTGCACCCATGAACATGATCTCTGACACCTTGTTCTTTGAAAGGTAGCTCTGTGCCAGACTTTCTGAGGTCCCTGATTATCTCACCCGCATTCCAGATGATTCTACAGCAAACTATACTAGTGACACAGCCTTTTGTAAATTTTTCTTTAAAAAGACATATATATATATATGGGGCAGAGTCTTCTGTGGTGATATGTCTCACTGAAATTATTTTTATTGAGCTTTGCTCTCTGTAAAGCACTGGATTTATGGCTCTTGCTATGGTAGATTAGGGCTGCATTCTATCAATCAGGAGCATGCCAGTCATTTTGTGAGCTCTGCATTTGTGAAAAAAAGAAGTGGCTGTGTGTATTATCGAACACGTACTATCTTTCAGGCACATGCCACGCCCTTATGTGTTCTGCTCCTTTACTCTTCAAAATGATCCTATAAGCCAAACCCTCTTACTCCCCCTGCTTTACCATGTGGGAATAGGACATCTAAAGGCATATGGGTCACGAAATGCAGAGCAGGGATTTGAATTTCAATCTAAAGTGCTTTTAACTGGTGGACTATAAAGTATTCATAACATCTGAGTTACAAAAAAGGCCTGATTCTGTTTGTCTGACTTGTGGAATATTTTCATAGATAGCTATGGGTGAATCTGGAAATTCAACAGAGTATTATCCTCTGTTTTTTTGTTTTCTTTACTTTTTTACAGGTTACTTGATTCCATGGTTTCTGGATTCATCCTGTAGCATTTTATTCTTTTAGTGGCTCCAAAATCTTCTCCAGAAAGCTTTTTTAGTATAGAACATACTCCCTCTTGGGCCTATGATCGCTTGTTGAGTATGGACCATCTGTTATTGCAGATGCACAGGCTCTGCACTGAGTGGTTTTCCCACCTTGTTTGTCTGAGAGCCAGCGTAGGTGTAGGTATTAACATGTTCCCTTTCCTCTCCTTTCTCCTCATTCATTCATTCATTCATTCATTCATTCATTCATTCATGTGTCTGTTTGGTGCCTGGTGATAATGCCAGTGCCCAGCACAAGCTGATATGACACACAGATAGCAGTGGAGGCTGAAGAATAAACAGTCAGTGCTGTAATGGAGATTCGGTAACTGGGGAAGGGAGCCGGGGCAGGAGGCTGAAGAGGTGGAGGAGCTCCCCAGAGAGGCTGTCCGTGGGAAGCAACCCTCTGAGCCCAAGCCGGCCTTCTCTGCCCCAAGAGCTGGGTCCATGTGGATGACACATGTGCCTTTGTGTGTCTTAACCAGCACTGGCGCCAGGAAACTGTGGATGTGAAGGCTATGATGAACACCTGGACACTGCAGAAGGGCTTTCCCCTGATAACCATCACTGTGAGAGGGAGGAATGTGCACATGAAGCAAGAACACTATATGAAGGGGTCTGACGGCGTCCCGGAAACCGGGTAATGTTATAGAGTAAGACTCATCTTGTTGCCTCGGTAACATCCTCCTGTTAGAATAATCTTACGTTTGAAATATGGTCCTAAAATATTTCAGTCAAATCTATATGTCCTGTATTTGCGTCTCCTCCAAAAAAGGATAAAGGAAGTTTTTAGGTTTGATTAGTCTCAGGAAAGCAAATGATACAGCAATTATTTTAATATTCTCATGTTTTATAGTCTAATAGGATGTAATTTCTAGTTTCTGGCTTGAAATTGACTCTGAGGCAACTATACTACATTACAACAGTGTCTGGCATGTGGGTTGGAGCTAAGGACAAAGGAATTTAGATGTTGCTGGAAATTATTTGGCAGTGAGTTGGAATCTGAAACTGTCAGTTTAATAACACAGAAGGACATCATTAAAATGAGATGCTGCAACATGGTTAACCCAGGATAGACACTATGCAGAAAAATTTCTCTCATCTTGAAATAATTTCAGGCTTATGGAGAAGGTGTGAGAATAGTCCAAGGAATTTCCATATATATTTTATCCAGATATATAACTCTTGATCACACTTGGTTTATCATTCTCTCACTCTCTCTTCTCTCTCTCTCTCTCTCTCACACACACACACACACACACACACACATTTTTTAGCTGTATAAGAGCAACTTGGAGACAAGACACTCTCAGAATGTTCACTTAAATAGTCACAGTACAGTTATCAATAATTAGGACATAAACTTGACAAGTACTATTATTTGACCTATAAACTCTGTTCAGTTATTTCAGTTATCCTAAAAATATCTTTAAATGAGAATAGAAAAACTTGACTATAAACTCACATGTCTTATTTAATTTTCAGATAATTTTGTTCTCCTTTTTGTCTGAATCAATCTTTTCAGTCTTCCGTTTCATTTTTTTTCACATTTTCAGAGTAAAAGCCAGGTATTTTATAGAATCTCCTTCAGCATATGTTTTCCATTGTTTTTTTCATGGCCAGATTCAGGCTGTGCCTTCTAGGTAGGAATTCTACATAGGTAATGTGTCCTTTGCAGTATGTTATTCAGGAGACACAAGATACCAATTTATGCAGTTACTGGTAGTCGCTGTTTTAAGTCTCCAGTTACTATTCCCTTGAATTTAAATTCCTAACTCTACTAAAGGAAGCCATGTAGGATGCATAGTGCCCAAGCTGGAAAATGGACTACATTTTGAGGTCTTGGCTATAATAGTTTTGATACCATGTTGTCCTAAACTACCGATAGCTACTCGTTGAATGAGTCAAAAAATGAAAATTCATCTCTTGCTTCTTTCAGGTACCTGTGGCATGTTCCATTGACATTCATTACCAGCAAATCAGATTCGGTCCAGAGATTTTTGCTGAAAACAAAGACAGGTAATATATTGTGAAAATAGCTGGTTTAATTCAAAGAAGTGTGGAGACATGTAGGATTTGAATAGTAAATCTTGGCATATATCTTGGTAAAAAGAGAAAGGATTAGGTTGAAAATGTTGCCTGGTTTTACAAAAGAAAGGCCAAGATAATGCTAGATAGAAATTAGGACAGTTGATTTAGAGTGCTAAAAACCGGGGATTACTGATGAAAGCTCTCATTATTTTGTTAACATTACCAGGTTGTATCATATGTATGAGGAGAAATGTGATTACCTGCTTTCCATAGATCTATAAATCTCACAAAATTGGTGTCTAAGATTAGTGTTGTCTCTTATGTATTGGATTGCTGTCGTCTGGTTTCTAAAAGATGCAAGTGATTTTAATTTGTTTAGTATTAAACTGTTCTCTGGTTTCTCTGTCTAGTCCTAGATCAGGAAGACTATGTTTAATGAAGGGAATAAATGGAGCTATGATTTATTTTATTTGCTATAGATGTACTCATCCTCCCAGAACCAGTGGAATGGATCAAGTTTAATGTGGGGATGAGTGGCTATTACATTGTTCATTATGAGGATGATGGATGGGATTCTTTGACCGGCCTCTTAAAAACGACCCACACAGCGCTCAGCAGTAATGATCGGGCAAGCCTCATTAACAATGCCTTTCAGCTTGTCAGGTAAGACAAGCTGTACCAGGTTGTGGTTTACTTCTGAAAGCAGCTGGTATCATTTAAATTCTTGATTTCTTAAGATGCAAGTGATTGATTGTTGCTGATAAGTTGAAAGGTATTTTCCTTAAGTTCTTCATACAATCCGTGTTTGCTTTTACCTTGTGATTAACCTCCTGTCTGTGACTGCTAGGTGACTTGAAGTATAGAATCTGTATTTTAACCTTCCTCATTCCCAACTCAGATCACACCAAGGTACATGTCAAATTCAGGAGACAACATCCTAGTGAGACCCTGTGCCCCATCCCTGCAGATTTTCTGGCCCTGCCATTTTGGATCAGGTTGCTCCCATGCTGAGGCTGCAACCACCTTGAAACCCTTTTAGAAGACTAAATAACCTAGACCCAGATGTTCGATGTATCTCTTGAATTAAAGGAGAGGTTTAAAACAAATGCAAAAAAAAAAAAAAAAAAAAAAAAAAACAAAAAAACCCAAACCAGCCAAACAACAAAAAAGTCCTCTAGATACCCAAAATTGATATAGTTCATCAAATTTGACCCCATCAAATGATCTTTGCATGACAGAAGACAGTGAACAGGATTGACTTTTTGCCTTCCCATAACAGTGGTTTTAAGGAAATTATTTCTACACCTAAAAGTCAAACCTTTTTTGATCTCTAGATCTAATTGAAGTCCTAAGGGTAATTTCATAATTCTCAGCCCTATGTCCTTCTGTCCTGAATATTGAGTTCTTTCTGGTTTTTCTAACACCAGACTGAACCTTCCAATATGGCAAAAAGCAACAAGGCAAGACTTTAAGGGTTGCCTACCTAGTTGTTTATTTTCTGCTAAAAAAAAAAAAAAAAAAAAAAATTCCTCTGTGGAGCATATTTCAGTTTGAATCCTAGAGGGTTTTACGTTTGTTTTGTAAGTACATAACCTACCACTGAGGCTTTTCGTATCAACTCGCTATTGTGAAGGGTTTCCATGTGTATTCAGTGTCTTTTTGAAACAGAGAAGATGTGTTTTCTCCAGAGACTCATATTTTGCACGCTGTCTCCCAAGGGTTCCTGAAGACCTGTGAATTCCCCCATACCGTGGAAGTTGTGCACATAGTCCAATGTGTCCTAGAGGAACTTTGTGGGTGTCTTTCCTTTCATCTGGCTCTGTTATTAAGAAACTTCTTCCCCAGTGGAATCTTGCCAGATCTTAGGTGTGATAGGAAAAATATTAATGTAAAGGTCATTGTTTTGATGGAAGATTGATACAATATATTTTGCAGCAAAAAGTTGATTTCCTGGGTTTTCTTTTAATCCTGTATGTAATCATTTTGTATCTTTTGATCAGCATTGGAAAGCTATCCATTGAAAAAGCCTTAGATTTAACTCTATACTTGAAGCACGAAACTGAAATCATGCCTGTGTTCCAAGGGCTGAATGAGCTGATCCCTATGTATAAGTTAATGGAGAAGAGAGACATGATTGAAGTGGAAACTGAGTTCAAGGTAAAAGCCTGGATATAAATAAGATAGTTATGGATTTGCTTTTCTTATGTATAAAAATAAGTGCTTACCATTGTGTATGTGTGTATGCATATGGGAAAGACAAATACTCATTTAGTGTTTGGATTAATTAACAAAGATTTCTGTTTTATTTGTCACTAAAATGAAATTGCAATGTTAAATTCTGTACTTAATTTTTATGTACTTTTTCCCCTTCCTTTTGTTTCATTTTACCTCTCTAATATGATAACTAATATTAAGATTTTCTGGGTTCATTCATCATACTTGAAGAAATACAAACTTGTTATTTTTGGCAAAATGTCATAAAGTTTTTGCACAATTTGCTCTCAAAATTTAGTGATGCATCTAGCTTTTAGCTTAAGAATGGCAAGTCATCCTGATTTTAAGCGGATAGGCTGTCTTTACCAAAGATTGTTATGCAAATACTAAAACCTTTATTTCTTATTCTGGTCCCTTTTATAATAAAATATGAACAGACTTGCACAGTTTAAAAAGAAGAGCTGGATTAAATTTTACAAGTGGGTGGCCATCACCTGAATTGAGTGCTGGGTGATCATAAAGATGAAATGAGGTGTGACAGGACTTCTGACACCTATCACTGTCCCATGCTCTACCCCCTCAGGCCTTCCTCATCAGGCTGCTGCAGGGCCTCATTGATAAGCAGACCTGGACAGATGACGGCTCCGTCTCTGAGCGGATGCTTCGGAGTCAGCTCCTAATGCTGGCCTGTGTGCGCAAGTATCAGCCCTGTGTGCAGAAGGCAGAAGGCTACTTCAGAAGGTGGAAGGAATCCGATGGGAACATGAGGTCAGTCCCTGCTTATGTGCTCATATGTTGATGTAAGGATGTCTTTTCTTTTTCCCATCATTGGTGTTAACCATTGGAATAAAACCAAAAAAGCCTTCCCTAGTTCGTTTTTGGGGGAGAATAAATTGCTTTTTAAGATTTATCTATGTATCTGTCAACTTTCTGTTCTAAGAAATGCTAGTCAGGAAGTCACATATCTAGGGAGTTAGAACTGTGCATAGTCACCACCAAATCTTACCGAACTAAAACTTTCATACCTGAAAGTGTGGCAATGCATTTTATAGCGACTTCTTTGTGTCCCCAAAGTCTGTAACACTATAAAGCAAGGTAGGATTTACCATAGAAACCTACTCTTGCAATGCTTCAGTCATTTCTGTTTAAAGCTCAGACCTCACGAAAGACACGTTTATCCCAAAAACCTATAAGCTTCCACTTCAAAGAAATGCTCACAGACAATGGTTCTAGTACATTTCTGTCTTGTGATCATGGAGTTAATTTTGAGCTGTTTGTATTTCTTCCTTTTCTACTTGAAAAGTGACCACCTGTGGAGTCAGTCAACATTATTAAAATGTTAGAAATGTTGGTATTTGTAAGAGTGACCTCTCACATTAAGGTTTTGAGACGACTACTTAAAGTCTAGTTGGAGATACTTTTTTCTCACTTCTCTTCATAGAAGGGAACGGAAGGAAGGCAGTCCAAGTGTCCTTTGCGTGCGTCCAGTTCATCAGTTGGTCATAACTGACTCACTCAAGACATTTTCTGGATCTCAGATTCTCACGGTTTTTGTTCTTTCCCACAGCCTACCTATCGATGTGACCTTGGCAGTGTTTACTGTAGGGGCCCAGAACACTGATGGATGGGATTTTCTGTTTAGTAAATATCAGTCTTCTTTATCCAGTACCGAGAAAAGCCAAATTGAATACGCTCTCTGTATGAGCCAAAACAAGGAAAAGCTTCAGTGGTGAGTCATTCATTCATGTTCATGTGGCCAAGGGAAATTAAATTAGATCTGATCATTCTGGCATCCATTTTTGTTCTCTTGGCCAGAAATTGCATATTATGCTTGGACTATTTGTGCAAGTGGGCACACGTCTAATGAGAATTAGCAAATAATTAGAGAGAACCAGGTGTTAGGGAAAATACATTTATGTTGTGTATTTTTAAAGCAGTAACATGCTTGATATATTTAATAGAGTTCTGTTAACTATTCTTTTGACCTAATGGGGGAATATACAAGAATAGTATTATAAAGGCCATATAACTGTTAGTTTTTATTATTGTATAACTAGAGTGGGTCTGTCAGGAATCTGGTTACCAATTTACCTGTTGGGTCTTCCTTATTGAAAGACTGGGTTTTTTCTTTTTTGAGTTATTTTATTAAACTCTTTTTATAATTTTTTTCATCATCTATTCACTGATCATAATTCTTTATCATTACAGGTTACTAGATCAAAGTTTTAAGGGAGACACAATAAAAAGTCAGGAGTTTCCACATATTCTTACACTCATTGGCAGAAACCCAGTGGGATACCCATTGGCCTGGCAATTTCTGAGGGAAAATTGGAATAAACTTGTACAGAAGTAAGTAGTGCCAAAAATGTGCTGGGATTGATAAGTTCTTTAAACTTAGTGTTTTAATGTTGATGTTTATAAAACAATCGTAACAGCATAAAGGAAGTTTTTTGATTGAAGGTAGGAAGTAGAGGGATTTAGAATATCGTTGTTTATAGTGTTGCCCTAACTAGTTAACTCAGTGCTAACTCACGAGGCTACATAGCAATGTTTTCCATTCTCCTCAGCCTCTGTCTCGCACTCACTGGCTTACTTGAAGCTCTCTTCTTTCTAGGTCAGTCCAGTTCTTAGCACTCCTGCATCAGCCTTTATCTAACTCTTGTAGCACTCTTGCATTTATCATTCTTTTGGATACTTAATGATTTATTTAGCTGCTGGACATGTAACATTTTACAACTAGGTCTTAACCCAGTGGAAGATAAGGATCATATTTTATATCTCTTTCATGCTCAGTTTTTAGCTAAATGCTATCACAGATGTGAGCCACTTAATATTATATGTTGAATGCATAAATATTTCACAATACATTTTAAAAATTTCCTTTTCGAGGTTTGAACTTGGATCATCTGACATAGCCCGTATGGTATTGGGAACAACAAATCAATTCTCTACCAGCACACGACTTACAGAGGTAAGAGAAAACTTTTTTCTTTTAAACTTGTGTAAGACAAAACACTTAATAGCGAGATGACTTAGAAGTGAATTTTGTCAATTTATTTGTGAATTCCATGGTACTGAGATTAAAACAAAATTCAGCTGCAGATAAACTGGTGGAAACTGTACCTCTTCTTGGCCTTGTTAAGGGTTGTCTTGCCATTTAAAAATGACTTGAGACAATTGGTCCTTTTTTAAAGTTGTTAAAAGTGAGCTTTGAAGGTACAACTGACTGAAGTTGGTCACCCAGTGATTATAAAAGTAGTAGGTCTGGAATCTAGGTTCCTCACTATCCATGGTATTCTTTTCTACTTACTGTATATACCATGTACATTCAGACACAGTCTTATGCATCTTATAAAATCCATCTATAAATTGTTAACATGAAGAATAAAACACTGTAATTAAGAGGGGTTTTGAAGGAGGACTGTATGAAGGAGATTGATGATAATTATTGCAACAGTACCCTAAATTAAATAAAGAATTAATAATAAATAGCAGTCAAGCTAAAATGAGAAATTAGTGTTATTCTCATTACTGGGAAGAGTGAACATGAAATACACAGGTACTGTACAAAAGCAGAATTTGCTCTAGCCCTAAACTGCTTTTTTGCACATAAAATGTCCTCAGAGAGGTCATTTTGAATCAACTGCATAATTGAGATGCTGCATTTCCGAGGCAGATGAGGACAGGAGAGCCAGTTTTGGTCAGGAAAAGGCCTAAGAGCTGGAGTGGCTCCAGCTTGTGTAATGTTATACCGATGGGTTTAAGAATGAATGAAATGTTTTGACAATTAGTGACATTATCAATGTGGTCTGAATTGTTGATGGTCAGAGGGCCCCAAGTGATTTTTAATTGGTGGAGAATTAATCTGAGGTTCAAAAGGGTAAAATACTAGGCTGCAGGGAGAAGGAGGTATGTTCTGGGTCCTCTGGCAAAGGCCATGACATCGGCAATCTGAGAAGTTGTATTAAATGTAATATAAAACAACTCTGGATCATTTAAAACTGGAATTTGATCTTTCTAAAGCCCACTTTCACCCTCACCTCTTACTCCTAACCTTGTAAAATGGTATTACGACATGGATTTTTAAGGAATTAGCTCTCTGGAATCCATGCTGAATAAATAATATATTTTGGCCTATACGTGTTTCCTGACTATGAAGTCAAAAGTTGAGGGACTAATGTGAAAATTTGGGGGATCAGGTTAAGAAGCCTGCAAGGTGAAACAAAATAGCATAATCCTCAGTGCTGTGGCAAAGTTAGTATGTACCTCATGTGAGCTTAAAGGGTTTGAGTATCCAGAGAAGAAAAAGAACAGACACTTTTGAGGAGACAGCCAACAGTATCTTATCTCTTTAAACCCATGGAGAACTTCTTGTAGATTATATCTGGAGAGAACAATACACAGATTGTGAAGCAGGATAAAAAATTTGGCAAGGTTTAGGGTCTTAACCACCATAACTGGCTAAGAACCCCATTCTCTGTGGAGTTTCTATAACATACAAGGCCAGGCTCATGGAGAAAGACTGCATTTATGTGGTTGAAACTGTTTTGCTTGGCAGAGAAAATCACTGCACATTTTGATTTTTAGATATCATGTTTTAAAAAACTAAGTTTGCATCTGTGTAGATAGAACAGAATACACATTAAATAGACACACTCAAAAACTTTAATTATAAAATGGTAAACAGTGTGGCCTTTTAAAGTCTGGTAACTGTGAAAAAAAGAGCTATAGAGAAAAAAATATAAAAAGCTGACATCACGAGCCGTGAACTCATTTCCTATAGCTCTGGCTTATGTGCACATAATCCTATCCAGACACCTGGCTCTGCTTTCTATAGAGAATTTTGGCTTCACCTTTAACTAGTAACATTTTCTTAGTGTTATTAAAAATTAATTTTTTAAAAATCCATTTTCTCCTTCCAAGGTGAAAGGATTCTTCCACTCTTTGGAAGAAAATGGCTCTCAGCTCCGCTGTGTCCAGCAAACGATTGAAACCATTGAGGAAAACATACGTTGGATGGATAAGAATTTTGATAAAATCAGGGCGTGGCTGCAACGTGGACAGCCTGAAGTGCTGTAAACAGCTGTTTCTTGCTGTGTTCGCATGATCCATAATTACCCAGATTTTGTTGAATGTAATTTCAAACTAGAGGTTGTTTCGTTTTGTTTTAGCTCCAGCTCAAGATACTCCTCTTCCCTTCAACTCTTTTCATTTGACCGTGTCAGTAAAAAGACTCTTTTCATCAATGGACTCTTGCGTCCACTTACAGGTGTTGTCCTGCACTGTAAACACAACTAGTGGACTCTCTACCAGAGGAGAAAAGTGCTTTGTTTTTTGTTGCACATTTAAACTCTGCAGTGTTCAAATCCCTCAGGCCCTGTATGCCTGCCATTCAACGCCGCTCCATCAGTGCCCTTGGAACGCCTGGATCAGTGCTGAGAAGGGAGGCAGCCTCATGGAGCTCTCACATGTGCCGTCCACCCTCCACTTCTGCCGGCCACCTCTCTCCCTCGCTTCATGTCCAGGTGCTGATTTGTGGAGTCCAAACCATCAGGTTTGCCTGCCCTCCGGATACTGGTCAATGGAGAACTCGGGGAGTTTGTCTCTTCCAGAAAAACAGTGCATTTATGCCCACAGAAAACACCTTTCATTAACGCTGCACTGGAGAGCGTTTTAAGGAGATGTTTTCTCTCTCAGCACCTCACCTGGCCTATTTTTTGAATTCTTTAAGAACCCATTATTGGTACGTATTGCCAGTACGTAACCACAGAGTCACCAACAGGTGATAATATATTATGAAACAAAATATTTGCTTATAATAGCCCAAAAGAAGATAACGTAGCCTACAGTTTTGAAGTCTTACATAGGAATTTCTGAACAGGCATACATTTCAAGACAAAAAAATATGACTAATGTGAAAAATGTCAAAATGTGTTGCTCTAATACACTGGAACAGACTGGCTTTTACACAGTGCCGTTTTTATACCTATTATATGGTTGATGGGTTGAGGAATGAAAATAAAAACAAATCACTTGTGATCTCTTACCCAGGTTTGTTTACTTCTTTAAAAAATGCACAGCCAAGATTTTAATGTAAAATACTTTGCTTTAATTATATTTTATATCTTGATTAACGAAACAAAAAATATTGACTTTCAGTTTTGGTCACCTGAGGACTCTATCTTCATCACTTGGAAAAGCCCATTTTCTATACAGATATAATATTGCCACAACAGTGTGCAGAAGCCCTTGTGGTAATAAACAATTGTTTACTTTTAATCAGATATTTGCAATTATTTTCTCCTTACTAGATGGCTAAGAGTAAAAGGACTACTTTAGATCCTGTAGCTTACTGGAGTCATCATGAGCAACTAGCCAACGCCCATCTTGAAGATATTTTTAGTAAAATAAAAAAGGCATATTAGTAAACCTTAAACATTTATTTTATAGGCATTCTCGAATCTCTGGATTCCAGTACATCATTTAAAAATACTTTTCTCTGTTCATAGAGATTTGTACTTCTGCAGCCATCCCCTTGCAAACATAGCTGTCAATGTCAAAATTTTCAGTGGCTTTTTTTTAAAATCAAGAAGAAAGGGAATATCTGTACTACCCAAATCGGATGATTAAATACTAATTAAAATTCCTCAGGAAAAGTGTATTTTTTTTTTGTTTGTTTGTTAGAACCTTGACAGTAATGTAATAACTTTCTTCAATGGGATAAAGACGTAAGTAGGCGGAGTGTGAAGTCTCAGCTTTGTGCCTGATCTGTAGAGAGCAGTTTTAGGGAGCTGATATCTGTTATCAACAAACATTGATATCTGTTATGAGCCGTGGTACTATTTTTGCTTGCCTCATTAGACAGCACTGGAGATATTACTTAACTTTACTGAAGTTAGCTAAAGCCTAACAAAAACTTTAAATTGATACTGAGGAAGGCTGTGGCTCTCTGGAAATGAGAAATTTTGAGTCTCTTTTATCATGTGTACCTCACATCTTTCCCCACATTCACTGCCAGGAAATAAAGACAAAATTAATTATTTATCAAAATCCCATCAATGATGCCAGTACAATGCTCATAAACTATTTATTCATAAAGATCTGAAAAGCCCTTCAAAGTTGTTGGACATCGGAGACTAGTTCTTAGGTTGCTAGGAGAGGGGAAGCAGACTTTGTATGTAGATACTTGGTAAATTTAACTTCCATAAAGTCAGACAAACAGTGCAAAAACCAATGTGACAAATGGCTCTAAGCAAATGACTGCTATTCAGGTTTTATGTAGAAAATAGAAAACAGTTTAATGCCATGATAAACCAGCAGAGCTCAAGACAGATGTACATCTGAAGAAGTAAGTTTTCTTATTTTTGAAACTTGCTATGTTATCTGGCCTAACAATTTGCTCTTGCGACTTTTTCAAGTCGCAGTGTGTTTTTTGAGTATGCAGAAGTGCTTACCCCTGGCAAAGAATTCAAACTGAAAAGGAAATTGGTGCTTCCTGGCTTGCCCAGGTTATCTATTATTAATTTATTATTAGCAGCCCAAAAGGAGATATGTGCCCACTGTACAATCTCTTATATTTGACTTATAAACATAAACCCAAAGAAACATCAAATATAGTTCAAAAACTCAAGAGAAAGGGAATACGAAGAAATCAGAACATTGACAAATGTGTAAAGCATTGTTTTTCAAATGCTAAAAACAAAAACAAAAAACTAAGTGCAAACTGAAAATACTAATGAGATTTATAGGCACTGTGTGTAGAATGTGCAAAAGTTTGCAATGTTTTCCTCTCTCTGTTTTTTTGGTGTTGCTTTAGTAAACTATCAAATACATTTCTTACAAATATAAAGTTTCCTTTCCCAACTGAAGGCAATTTTTAAAAATTCAGTTTATCAGTACTCAATACAGTAGCACAGGTGAACCAGGTAAATTCATCTTCTTTCTGGAAAGGAATAACAAACCAATGTTTATGATGTCAGAAGACTTAAGTATCACTGTTTGGAAGCCACCCAGAAAATATTTTCTGTTGCCAATGCCTTTTGTTCTTCAAAAGTCACCATCCACCAGCTGAAGATTTTATATGCAGATACCTTAAAAATTTCAAAGAAAAAAAAATCCAGTGAATCATTCGATATATAATTTTCATGGTTACAGGTGCAGACAATATGCTACTTAGCAAAAGCACTGTACACAGACCACAATGCTATATGAAAATATGGGTATACTGATAATAGAAATTTGTAAGTTTTAGGAAAAATCTTGGGAGTTCTAATTAAGAGTCTCTCTCTTTGGAGGAAATAAAAATGAATCGATTATGACAATGGAACTGAACTTGATTTAATCTATATTTTGATTTCTTTTAGGCTTTGGTTGGTAGCAAGTATGCTTTGTGACTTAGAGTAAGACTTCGATCCTCTGAAGATTTAGATAGGACCCCTCTTATGGTTGATACATTGTATCAACTTGAGAAGTTTAGAAGTTTAAGACTCAGCAGGGAACCAGGATCCTTCCATTCTGGCCAGAAATAGGGGGTGGCCTGCTTACAATATAAGGGAGGAGAGGCTTGTTCTCCCCTCTACCCTTTTGTTCTGGCTGCTTTTGGTGGCTGCTGCCTTGAAGTGTTGCCCCAGTGCCATACCACCCTACCTTTGGAGCCAACTGATTATCGACTGAAACCTCCACAAACAGTGAGCTAAATAAACCCTTCTTTCCTTCATTTTGCATGTTGGGCATTTTGTTCAAGCAACGATGGAAAAGTAACCAAAATACCCTCTCTCAAGACGGCACTCAGAGATTCTTTCATTTTTTGGATTTCTTCAGTCACCACAAATTAAAATCAAGCTCGGTAGTTTACTTTCCAACAATGAGAGAAACATCAATCGTCAATATTGTCCTTTGCCTCTATTCTAAAAATATTGCCATTTCCACCCAACACTAAAGAATACTTCTCCCCATCCTGCCATGTGTTGATATTTATGTTAATATTAACTGAGGACATTTTATTAAAAATTGTAACATGCTAATTTTGCAAAGAGGTCGACATCGTATCTCTTCCCATAACACAGGCTAGGATGCCTATGTTATGGGAAGAGATTTACTCTACTCTTATTTATAAGTAAATCCAGAGTGATATTTACTTATAACAAACACCCAACTTACCAGGTACTGTAAACTTTAACTTGTATTTTTATCATCACCTTTTTTTGTATTTTTTGCATCACTTTTTGGCTTGGAACCTTCCTCTGTTTTCTAGAAGGGAAAGCAAAACCATCAGCAAGGTCTTTCTTTTCTGAATTAAGTTGTTAAAAAAGTGATCCACAAGAGAAGATTTATAATATGATAAACCTTCCTAGTCCCCCCCCCCCAAAAAAAAGCTAAACCTTCATAAAGCTTCTCAGAAATAAAGGGACAGAAGATAGCAGTCAGTGGAAGAAGACAAGATAATCTCAAGTTTATCTTCTTCATTTGGCCCAAACATGATGCATGTTAAATTTTTAATTCCAAATTTGATTCCTAAAAAGGGCATACGTATGTAATTTTTTTTTAATGCACAGGTGCTTCTGGGTAGGACTGTTCCATCATTCTTCAAGGATCTATCCTTTTTCTGGATTTTGGGACAGGGCTGCCCAGATAATGCACTCATTGTATGTGGTAATTATGTTTCCTATTTCTTGTTAAGAGGTTGACAAACTACTTTGTTATAACTAAAGTAAAACAATAAACAAAGAAATATTTAATATATTGAGATATAATGGCATGAGTAACTGTCAATTATTAAGCATGTTTCTTGTGTCATTTAATGGAATCTATTACAAGATTTTATCATCTTGTCTTTAAGGGCTTTAATGCAATTTGACTACAGTTTTTAAAGCTGTACCATGAATTTCTTAAAATAAAGGATCACAGTTACAACCATTGTGTGGTATGTTATTGAAACTGGAAAGAAATTGTCTACTTTACTGTCCATTCCTAATCAAAACTTCAGTAATTTTAATAATAGGAAGCTCCCAAATGTTGTGCCCCATCAGTGCCCAAATCTAAGACTTAAGCTGGGCCCTCTAACTTCCATTCATTAGTCTTCATTCTACTTTCTAGAGGAATAATAAAAAGATATTTACTGCTGTAAGTTGGATGTTGAATGTTCCCCAAAGATCCATCTGTAAAAGGACTGGTCCTCCAAGTGGCACTGCTCGGAGGTGCCATCACCTTTAGGAGGTGGAGCCTCATGGGAGTCCTTTAGGCTATTGGGGCTGTGCCTCAGAGAGGACTGTGGTACCTCAACTCTTCCTCTTTGTTCCCTGGATTATGAGGTGAGCAATCTGTGCCGCCACATGCATCCCACCATGATGTGCTGCCTCTCCAGAGGAGCAAAACGGACTGGGCCCTCCCAAGGCATGAACTGAAATAAAACTTTTCTCTGCATTGTCTTGGGTAGCCATTATAATGATGGAAATCTAACTAATACATGAAATAGTAGCCCTATTATGTATTACTCTCCTCAAGTGCTGTCTAATGATTACACTGGACCATAGAAACCAATATTGTCCTTGAGTTTATATTCTACCTTCCATGCTCTAAAATTTATATAAATCACATACTTAAGTATAATAAGAGAAGGAAACGTAGGCAACTTAAATTGTACTCAGAAAACTCATTTAGTTTTTTGAAGTACTAGGTACTTAGGAAAAGAATACATATGTAAAATACACACACATATATACACATCCACATAAAGACATGTAATTTTAAAAATTCATTTCATTAGTGAAGTATGCCAGGGGACAGTCAGTGTTTAAATATCTTTTATTCTAAATAACTTAAACCAAGAAACTAAATTACAAACAGAATAAATCCCATTTCCATGTAATTCCTGAACTAATTTGTAGTGCATTTATTGCCCCATGTTTACCTTGGCCGAGTCCTTTGCTTTACTTCCATTCTTGGGAGCTCTGGAACCAGAAGCACCCTTCTTGCTCTTGTCCTAGAGCAAAGGAAATGCAGTAAAGATGTTATTATCACCAGCCATGTTATTATCATCTAGCAATGAACGACTGGCTGCAGCCATATTAGACTAGACTGTTCTTGGCCATAGCCTGTAGAACTCCAATTTATTTAAATAACATTTTAGTCACTGTTTTTTAAGTAATAGTAAATATACTCAGAAGTGTTCAAGATGAGATAAAACGACTAAAAATAAGGAGGAAATTGCGGGTTACACTGTTATTCTGCTAATTGCTGTGATAGGTGGTTCACCCAAATGCTGCTTCTGTTCATTAAAACGAAACTTATCCATTACCAAAAAGACAGAGGATAACAAGTGTTGGTGAAGATGTGGAGAAAAGAAAACATAAAGAACTACTTGGTAGGAATTGAGGTTCCTAAAGAAATTGAAAATAAAATAAAATTAAAATCAAATAAAACCTAGAAATTCCTGTTCTGGGTATATACTTAAAAGAAAACAAAAACGATAAAAGAAGGATAAAATTGAATCAAAGCTTTGAAAATGAGAGGAAGAGTGGTTGAAGGGATGGGAAGGAGTAGGAAAGAAAAGAAAGGAAACAGGATACATCATGTATAGGTACAAATTCCGTATGATGAATGTGATCACTGTGTTTATATTGTACCAATAAATTAATAAAAAAATTTAAAAGATGAAAAGTATCATCTCATAAAGATATCTGTAGTCTCATGTTCATTGCTGTATTATTTACAACAGCAAAAATATGGAAATGAAGTCAGTATACCTAGGTGAGTGAATTTTTGGGATATATATATATCTCCTATTCACCCTTTAAAAAGGAGATCTTGCCATTTGCCACAACATGGATGCATCTAGAGGTGATGATGCTGAATGAAATTATGTTAGACCCAGAAAAATATTGCATGACCTCACAGAACAATAAAAAGTACTCAAAGGCGCAGCTGGATATTGCAACAGTGGTTACCATGGTGAGGCAGAGTGAGGAGGACTGCAGAGATGTGATTCACAGGCAAAGCAGCAGGCACACAGATGAGCGAGTCTAGAGACCTAACATACACTATCAAGACTAATCTTAAAAACTGTATTGTACTAGAGACTTTTCTTCAATAAGTAGGTTTTAGGGAAGTCTGAGAAGCAGATGCTGTTAGCTGCTTCACTGCAGCAATCATTTTACTGTCTGTCTGTATTCCACAACACCATGTTGTCAACCACCAATAAACACACACACACACACACACACACACACACACACACACACATACACCCAACTATTGAAAGACAGTAACAATAAAAGAAATGAAGGAGATGCTGAACATATCTAAAGAAGACACAGCTAAAAAATTAGAGGAACTAAACGAAAAGATAGAATCTCTGGATGAACAATATAAGAAACAAACAATATATAAAACAGATGCAAAGAGATATACAGGAAATCAAAAACTCCATTGAAAGTTGTAAAAACCGCCTGAATGAATGCGAAGATAGAATTTTGGACCTCGAAGACAAGATTGCAGCCAGTGAACAGGAAAGGAAAGATCTTTTAAAAATAACAAGAAATCAAGAAATAACAATTCAACACCGCAAGATGACGCAAAGAAAAACAACATAAGGTTGATAGGGATAAATGAAAAAGGAGACAATACAAAGGATGTCAAGAGGATATTTAGAGACGTAATTGCTGAAAACTTCCCAAACATGAAATTGGAAACTGCTATCAGGATCAATGAGGCATATACAACTCCAAATAGCCATAACCAAAATAAAACTACACCCAGACATATAATAATCACCATTCCAGAAATCGAACAAAAGAATAGAATATTAAAAGCTGTCAGAGAGAAAAGACAGATCACCTATAAAGGAAAACCTATCAGAATAACAGCAGACTTCTCAACGCAAACAATAAAGGCAAGAGGAGCATGGAGTGAAGTATTTCAGACCCTAAAGGAAAATGATTTCCAACCTAGACTGATGTACCCTGAAAAACTGTCCTTAAAAGTTGATGGAGAAATAAGATACTTCCACGACAAAGAACAGCTGAAGAAATTCGTGATCACCAAGCCAATCCTACAAAGAATACTGAAAGACAGTCTAGATACACTTAAGAAAAAACCACTTAACAAAGCAGACAATTAAATAGAACAGAAAGATAAAGATGCAACAGCAGAAATATAACATGTCACCAATAAACCAATATATAACAGTTATAACCATTAACGTAAATGGTCTCAATGCACTAATTAAAAGAAATAGACTGGCAGAATGGATCAAGAAACAAAATCCAACCATATGCTATCTACAAGAAACCCATCTAACCCAAAAAGATACTCACAGACTGAAAGTCAAAGGATGGAAAACAATACTTCATGGAACAGGAACCCGATTCTGTTTGCAGACAATGTGAACTTCAAACCAATAATGATCAGAAGAGATAAAGCAGGTCATTACATACTGGTTATGGGAAAACTTCAAGAGGAAGAGATAACTATCTTAAATATGTATGCACCAAATTCCAAAGCACCCAGTTACATAAAACAAGTAATATCAGAAATGAAAAACCAAATTAGCAGTAATACAATTATAACAGGAGATTTTAACACACCATTGACACCAATGGACAGATCAACAAGACAGAAAATCAGCAAAGAGATAAAAGAACTGAATCACACCTGTGAACCAATGGAATTGATAGACATATACAGAGTATTCCACCCAAAAACAACAGAATACACATTCTTCTCAGCAGTACATGGGTCATTCTCTAAAATAGACCATATATTAACTCACAGAACATATTTAAAGAAATGCAAAAGAGTTGAAATCATCCCCTGCATGTTATCAGATCATAGCGCTATGAAATTAGTAATTAATGATAAAAGATACTGCAAAAATCCCACAAACACATGGAAACTGAATAACACACTCTTGAGTAATCAGTGGGTCACAGAGGAAATTAAAGAAGAAATTAAACAATATCTTCAAACAAATGAAAACATAAATACAACTTACCAAAATCTGTGGGATGCAATGAAAGCTGTCCTCAGAGGAAAATTTATTGCAATGAGTTTCCACATCAGGAAAACAGAACAAATACAAATAAATAACTTGATGCTACACCTCAAACATCTAGAAAAAGAAGAGCAAGTCAAGCCCAAAGCCAAAAGAAGAGAGGAAATAATAAAAAATCAGAGCAGAAATCAATGCAATAGAGACTAAGAAAACAATACAAAGAATCAATGAGTCAAAGAGTTGGTTCTTTGAAAGAATAAATAAAATTGATAAGCCCCTAGACAACCTTATTTAAAAAAGGGAAGAAAAAGCTCAAATTCATGCAATAAGGAATGAAAAAGGTGAAATCACTACAGACCCAATAGAAATAGAGAAGATCACCAACACCTATATCAAAAACCTCTACTCTCAAAGGTTTGATAACACAGAAGAAATAGACAGATTTCTAGAAGCATATGAAGTACCAAAGCTAGGTCAAGAAGATATAAATCTGCTGAATAAACCAATTTCTATTAATGAAATCGAAAATGTAATTAAGTCATTACCTACAAGAGCCCAGGCCCAGAAGGATTCACTGCAGAATTCTAAAGAAATACAAAGAGGTCCTAATGCTGACAATCCTCAAAATCTTCAATGAAATTGAAAGGGAAGCAATCCTTCTCAAGTCATTCCTGGAAGCAAATATTACTCTAGTACCAAAACCTGAGAAAGACCCAACTGAAAAACAGAACTACAGACCAATCTCCCTAATGAACACAGATGCAAAGATCCTCAATAAAATATTGGTAAATAGGATGCAGCAAGTCATCAAGAAGATTATACACCATGATCAAGTGGGATTCATCCCAGGTATGCAGGGATGGTTCAGTATACATAAATCAATAAATGTAATCCACCATATCAATAGAGTCAAAAGTAAGAATCACATGATCATTTCTATAGATGCAGAAAAAGCTTTTGATAAGGTACAACATTCATTTATGATAAGAACCTTGCAGAAAATTGGAATAGATGGTCTTTACCTCAACATAATAAAGGCCATCTATGACAAACCAACAGCCAGTATCCTACCAAATGGCCAAAAATTGAAGGCCTTTACTTTAAAATCAGGCACAAGACAAGGATGTCCCCTGTCACCGCTCCTATTTAATATAGTACTGGAAATACTAGCCAGACATGAAAGAGAAATAAAAGGCGTAAAGATAGGAAAAGAAGAAGTTAAATTATCATTATTTGCAGATGACATGATACTTTATATAGAAGATCCCCAAAACTCCATTGAAAGACTCCTAGATATAATAAATAAATTCAGCAATGTGGCTGGATACAAAATCCATACTCAAAAATCAATAGCATTCTTATACACTAACAACAAAATGACAGAGAGAGAAATCAGAGAAGCCACACCCTTCACACTAGCAACCAAGAAAATGAAATATTTAGGAATTACTCTCACGAAAGAAGTGAAAGACCTATACAGGGAAAATTATAATACACTGAAAAATGAAACTGAAGATGATCTCAGAAAATGGAAAGACATCCCTTGCTCACGGAAAGGAAGAATAAATATTGTGAAAATGGCCATTCTCCCAAAACTGTTATACAGATTCAATGCAATCCTGATAAAAATACCATCAACATACCTCATAGATCTAGAGAAACCAATCCTAAAATTCATCTGGAGTGGGAAGAGACCTAGAATAGCAAGGACAGTTCTAAACAGCAAAGGCAAGGCAGGAGGCATCACAATCCCTGACTTGAAGTTATACTACAAAGCAACTGTACTAAAATCAACATGGTACTGGAATCAAAATAGAGCCGAAGACCAATGGAATAGATTAGAAGATACAACCACAACTACAAGCACACTCAACCACCTTATCTTTGATAAAGGGGCCAAACATGTTCACTGGAAGAATGACAGTCTCTTTATTTTATTTTATTTTATTTTTTTTAATCGGTACTGGGGATCAAACTCACGACTGCCTGCTTGCAAGGCAGGTGCTTATGCCGCTGAGCTAAATCCCCAGCCCCCGACAGTCTCTTTAATAAATGGTGTTGGAAAAACTGGCTCTCCATATGCCGAAAACTAAAACTAGACTTACGCCTGTCACCATATACTAAAATAAAATCTAAATGGATCAAAGATCTAAATATTAAAACAGAGACACTAAATCTATTGGAAGACAAATTGGGTAAAAACCTTGATAGGGGTAGGTAGAGAATTCATGAACAAGACTCAAACCGCACGGGAAATACTTCCCAGAGTCAATAACTGGGATCACATCTTATTAAAAAGTTTCTGCACATCGAAAGAAATCTCTAACATAGTGAAAAGAAAACCCACAAACTGGGAAAAAATCCTAGTGAACTGCCCCTCAGACAAAGGACTTCTGTCTAAAACATACAAAGAATTAAAAAAAATCAGACCCCCAAAATTCAAAGACCCCATCCGAAAATGGGCATGTGAGATGAATAAACAATTTTCAGATGAAGAAATACAAATGGCAAATAAATATACGAAAAAATATTCAGCATCACTAGTCATTAGAGAAATGCAAATTAAAACCACACTGAGATTTCATCTCACTCCCGAAAGAATGGCCAAGATCAAGAAAACCACCAACAACAAATGCTGGAGAGGCTGTGGGGAAAAAGGAACTGTCCTACACTGCTGGTGGGAGTGTAGACTGGTGCAATCATTGTGGAGGTCAGTCTGAAGATTTCTCAGAAAGCTGGGACTGGAAGCACCATTTGACCCAGCTATTCCACTTCTAGGCATATTCCCAGAAGAACTGAAAGCATCATACCAAGTGATATATGTACACCCATGTTTATAGCAGCACAATTTGTAATAGCCAGATCTTGGAAACAAACTAAGTGTCCATCAACTGAGGAATGGATAAAAAAGTTGTGGTATTTTTATACAATGGAGTACTACTCAGCTATAAAGAATGATCACATTGAGACATTTATAAATAAATGGACGCAGCTCGAGACCATACTCATAAGTGAAATAAATCAAACTCACATGTATAAATACCGAATATTTTCCCTAGTATAAGAAACGATAAGAATACATGAAAGTACGTGGTAATCATGATTCCCAATCACACTGGTTTGAAGCCATATAATGTTTTCACTCATTAATTGGAATGGTTTTAATCTGGGTTGTTTTATTTTATTGTCTGTGATACTACAAATAACTATTTTGAAGAAAATAAGAGTGTAATAGCTCTAGCACTGATTTAATATCATCCTGTTTTGAAGCCCCATCAAGTTGTTCATTTGTTTCCATTGGTTCTAACATATTGTATCTTATTATATCTTAATGTATGCAATAGTATAAGTAAATTTTTTATAGACAAAGAGATAATATAGAAATTGATGTTCAGTTTCTGCTAGCTGGTTCTAAACACCCTGCAATAATTTCATTCTCTTGAACGGTTTCACACTGTCTTGATAAGTTTGATGCTATAGTATATGAAGTTAGACTCAAATATTTCAAGGAAAGAGTCACTATGGTAACTACTATTAATGTCAGGCTATCTGGGGGTGAAACACAATGATGCTTAAATTTTTTGGTTCTGACCAGTGTTGTTCTGTTGATATGTTCTTTTTTTTAATCTCAATCTCCCCCCTTTTCCTTTTCTTTTTTTAAAAATTAATTTATTTCTTAGTATCTTTTAACTAAGAGAAAACTAAATTAAAAATAAAGCGATAGATTATAGTAACTTTTTTGTTTCCCTATTAACCTGATTTGAACCCCTGTATTGTTCTCCACATCTTGTTCTGACTGATTTTATTATATTCTGTTTTGCTTAATAGTATCAAGTTTGAGGGTATAGGCAACCATTTGGAAGGCAACCAGATATTCTATGATGCCCATTATTGTTTGACTATTATCTTCTTTGGAAGTCCTGTAAACTCTCCAATGTGGGTTTTCTGGGTCTTCTGTACAGTTTTGTTCAATTCTTTTATACCAGCTGATATAGGCTACTGTTTTTAGGATAACAAGAGGCATAATGGTAACCATTGTTGATCACCTAGTTATCCTTTTTTTTTTTTTCTTTTCATTATATACTATGTCCATCCTCCTGATGTAACTGACTCTGTTTTGCTTTGTCACTTTGGGTTCTTCTTTGGTCTGTCTTGTTTTGTTTTTTTGTTTTTTGGCTCTTTTTAAATCTTTTTTCTTTTCCTCTTCAAAGAAAAAGTTATAAAAACTGTGGGAGTAATGGAAACTAAAATGTGTGATTGTTAGCGTAAAAAAGAGAGGAAGGAAAGTGATCTAAAGGATATAACTGCAAGTATATTTAAATGTGTAGGATAGAGAACCATATTGCTGAGTTTTTCTTGGATCATTGAACAGAACTGACTGTAATCTCACTGTATTAATGTCCACTTTGTATGCTTTAATTTTGTAATCTGGACAACTGTTTCTAAGATGACAATATGTGATCTATTAACTGGTGAATTCTTACTGTATATTTTTTCTCTTGAAATTCTGTATTAGTTCTAGCCTTTTACTGTTTTGCTTCATTTAGTTTTGTTTTTCTCTTTAAATAAAAAATAATATAAAATAAAAAAACAGTAACAAAAACCCCCAGAGCTTTTCTGTCTTTTTTAGACTGGCATTTATGTGTCAGTAACCCCAAACCAAGACAGTATTTTCAGTGTTATAGTGGAGAAATATAACAATGAAAACAATGGAAAAGAATTGCGATAGGGTATGTATAAAAATAAAGTCCACTTGCTAAATAATGACATGATTTAGGAGCTTCCAGGAATGAGAAATAGGAGGCCGAAGTGGTCTAGAAATGAAGTCACCCACTAAGGAAGGACTGCTTACTGATAGCTCAAATGGATACTCACGTCACATCCTCTATCTAACGTATGAGAGTGTGGCTAATCAGGAACACCCCCAGGGATGCACTCTGGTAAATACCAGGCATTCCGCTAATGCTGAGCAAGAAGTCAGAGACTCATCGCTACCACAGATCAGCACAGCTGAGCGGTGCAGGAGACAACAGGTAACCAGGTGACCAGCACACATGGAGCCTGAAAGGGAGGCTGCTTAGCTTGGCTGGGGAGGAAGGGTGGTGAGAGAAGTCTTCCTGAAGAGGCAGGCGCTTGACAAGGGCCCTAAGGGATGAGGAAGAGTCAACTGGCTGGGCCAAGAGGAAAAGGGAAGGAATCTGCAGAGGGCAGATGGGCAGGAGAGAGACCACGGAGTCAGGGACTACTGTCACTGTAAACGAGCACAAACAGTGTCACTGTCACATTACAACAGTGTAACATCACAGTGCAGTGATGAAAATTGGTAGCTCTGGAAATTCTAAAGCAACATGGAAAATATGATGAAATGATGTTAAACAATGTTATAAATGAACAATTTCGTAAAACATTCTACAGAAAAGACAAAGGAAATGTATTAAATAATACTGTGTGGGGGGTACTGGAATTTTAGATATTTTTCTTTTCTCCATTTTTAGGTTCTCTGGAATATTTAATTCATTCGAGGTTAAAATTACACTCGTGCACACTCACAGAAACACCATCTGTATACTTCAAAGAAAGTCCATATAAAAAGCACTCTACCTTTGCTGTGTTCTGTGCGGTTTCTGCAGTTGGGGGACAGCAGTCCAGATCTCCTGAGAGGACATCAATGGGGTCTTTGTCATCAGTGGGCTTCTGAAATATTAACCGAAATGACCATTAGGAAAAAGCATAAGGAATGTTATAGGGGCCCTTTCCCCACATCATTTAAAAATATAAGATGTAAATTAAGCAAAAATCTTGCTGACATTCTTTTCCTTACAGAAATATAAAGGAGTCAATAAAACATGAACATTTTGGTAACATTATTTTCTCCTACTCTATCACAAGTATTCACACCTACAAAATAATACTCCAGCTCCACAGGGCTTTGGTGAGGAGTTACAGATCAGCACACTTCTATGCATAGGACCAAGCACAGGGAGGCCTTCAATAAGTTTTAGGGTTTTTTAAAAGAGAAAAATAAAAACATAAAATAACACAATAAAGGTGACAGATCTTTTGTAAATGGGAAGGGAACCAGGAGATGGAGAGAGACAGATGGGCAGGAAGGGGAAGAGGACAAAAAAACAATTAAGACATGTCATGTCCATGCACCAACTATCCACTAGAATGTGATCAGTATGTATAACAAACATGGTAATAAAGAATATAATTTTTAAAAATTTTAAATGCTAAATAAAACTATTAATCAAAAAATCTAATGGAAACATGATACACTATGATATTTACCTTTGATTCTTTTGATTTCTTTGTAGGTGGCTTCGCTGGTTTGGCCTTAAAAACAAGGCAGATAATTGGTTAAACATGGATCTTTTTAGAGATTTACATAGACTATATTGTGCAAAGACTTGACACTTGGGAGCTGAGATTTGTAATAACTGGTAAGGCTGTGTCCCCATTTTTCTACTGGCTTAGCTTTACCCAGTGACAATTTTATTAGTTCCAGGGGGGAAATATAAGGGTCTGGTCTTAGAAGTAACACAGACACTTTCTGTCATCAGGTGTTATAATTTACAATTCTATTTAAAATATTACAAAAGGTACCTGTGTTTTCATATCTAACCTTACTACACTTTAAAAGGATCTGAAGATTATTTTCACACAGGATTGAAAATACAAGCCAGGGATTTTTTTGTCTTCAAAGGCAAGAACATTAAATAACACAGTCCCCAAACACAAACAGGGTGCCATAGTTCTGGCAAAGCAGGACACAGAGTTGCTATCTCAAGGAAGATTTTCTTCAGTCAAGGAGAACTGACAGCCAGGACAGACAGAGAAGGATGTAACTCGGACTTCTTTTGATTTCATGAGCAGCCATGGAGAGGATTATCTGTTATCAGAAGTCGGACAGGGGAGATAGGAAGTGGGGGGGGTGGGCAGCTTGACCCACAAAAACTGAGCTTCCATGTTACGGACAAGAAGTCAGGGGCATTTTGACAGTGATGCAGGACTTGGGACTGCAGATATGATGTCCCTGTCCTCACGCTGTGTCGTGCAGGCAGTGGTGGAGGAGGCGGGAGAACCAGGTAGTCTTGGAGTTGCCACATTTATTTGTCCTATTAAGTGTCCCAACACAAGCCCATCTCTGCTTTCCTTAAAGAGAGACTGCTTCCTTTGGAACCCTGTGGCCGTGGTTATTTTTATAGCCTTTTCTTGAAACAGTAATTCTCTCTACATTTCTAGGAATCACTATTAAGCATCAGTGAATAACTGGCCATAAATCAACTCTGTTTATACCACAGGGCCCAACTTAAGAATATAAAATGATATTTGCTCAAATAAATATTAACAAGTTCAGAGAGCCTGCGTGTCGCGCCAGGGTGCACTGAAAGCGGTCAGTCATGATACATTGTTATTGTACAAGAGCACATCTTCTACTCATGTCAAGGGGGGTTTAAATTAAAAATGACACGTAGCATCAACGCAATGGAGTCGTTGGCCTCAGGTTACCTGCCCATCACTGTCCAGGAGGTGTCTGTATTCGGGCGGGATAGTCTCATCTCTTTCCCCCAGCTTGTCTCTATGTTCGGCCTTAGCTTTTTCCTGCAAGCATCACCAGATATAATTACCGTCCATTTCCTTCTTCACACAGAAAATCCTTCATGACCCAGCATTTACTGTACTTTTCTGGGACAACACATATGGTCTTGCTTTCATTTTATAAGCAACAGAACAACAAAATGGATGACAACAGACAACTGCTGAAAAAAACATCAACCCACACGTTTCTATGTGTCATCTCATGTCTACAATTTTTCTACCTGTATTTTAAATTGAAAGGAAGGGTTAAATAATTGTCCTCAGAAACTATATTAGAAGTCATTTTAGGCAGTCTTTTTAGTGCACACCTGTAATTCCAGTACTCAGGAGGCTGAGGCAGAATGATTGCTGCGAGTCTGAGGCCAGCCTGAGCCACAAAGTGAGTTCAAGGCCAGCCTGAACTGCATAGTAAAATCCTGTCTCAAAAAGACTAAAAGTACAATTTTTTTTCTTTTTCTGTTTGAGCTTCACTTTTCAATGGAAAAATCGGGTCACTGTACCTCAATGTGTAGAGAGTTAATATTTACTACTAGGAGTATTTTAAAGCAATGTTGAAGGAACGGGATACCAGCAAATCTGAATGGATATGCTAGCTGGGCTGCTGGTGATCACGCTACTCCTGCACTCCCACCTCTGAGGCTCAGCTGGTCTCTGGCCCAGACTCTACGGCCCTTCCTACCCCTGCCAGTGGAGTACAGCTTTATTTTCCTGTGTTGTTATAATTTTACTTTTCAAATACAGATTAATTTCACATCAATATTCTTATGGTAACCATAGAATCAAGATCTAAGGAAGTTGGAAATATCTTGAGGACACTGATTGGACTACCCAGACAATTAATTATGTTTTGGCTCCAAACAAGACCAAACATGATCCAGACAGCTGAAATGGATTGCTAAGTACAGCGTGCTAGTTAGCATAAATAAAGTGCATATTTATTATATAAAATACGTGGCATTAACAGCTCTCTTCCAGACACATTTAGCCCAACACTCTCTCACTTAGAGGGGAACTGATTTAGTAAGGTTTGTTATAAAAGGCTGCCAGGAAACCACCAAGTATGTGACCTCTGCCACTACAAATACAGGATGTGTCCACTTAAAAGATGTCCGTGTGTGTATCATGTGTATTATGCCCTCCCTCTCAGATAAGAGCAGGGAAAGTTAATGTAGGAAGACAATAAAATTATGAAAGCACAGCTCTGCTCCATCATTATGAAGTCTGTTCTCATGGACAGGACATTTGCCTGTAATGGAATCAGAGCCATAAAAATAATCCTCAGTGAGAAATAAAGAAATCAATCACAGAACAGAGAAAAATGAGACTTAAGATACTCAACTGTTCAGTATTTCCAGATACTGTCAAAAGTGTCTTTTTTTGTTTATTGTTAAAGGTAGGGTATTGTATGGTATAAAAACCTTAGAATTTCACTCATTAGTGATTTTCTTTTACCTTTATTTTATCCTCCATGGGTTTGTTCTCATCTGGGTCAGGCTGCCTTTGCCCAAGGCTGTCAGAAAGTTTATCCAAAGCATCGTCCAGTTCTTTGTTACTCTTCTAAAAGGTAAGTGGTTCTGGATTAGTCACTGGATGGCTAAACCGAGTCAGAAACTAATCAGCCCAGTCACCCCATCTTTTAAGGACTGGTTACTGGAAAAGCAAGACATCTGGGGATGTGACAAGGAGGTGGACAGAGTGCAAGCAGTGCTGCCAGTGAAGAGGAGGAAGAGCACAGCATCTGTAAACTTAGTAACAGTTCGAGAACAAAAGCCATCTACCCAGTCGCCCAGCTCTGTGGCAACTATCCCCCTCCAGCCGGTGGAAGTCTTAGTGGCAGTGTCAGGGGCCACATTCCAGCCAGAGACTACTGGAGCTCACCTCGAGGGTCCCAAACCAAAAGAACCAATCTTTCTCATTTTTAAATGAAACATGACCCCCCCCCCCAAATCAAAACCAAAACCAAAACCAAAAAACCTGGATATGATAATCTTATGATGTTGTCAAAAGTTTAAGAAGCAGAATTTTTTCAAAAGAGCATGAGCATTTCTTTGGCTTTATGAACACACTCTAAGACCAGACCCAGAAAGGCACATTTCATTAATGGAGGAAAAAATACAGGCTGCGGAACACTGAAGAAGCCAGTCCTCAATACCTGCATGAACACAAAACTGGGGGTTCAAAAGACCAAGGGGGCTTTCTGAACTGGCAGGCAATCGAAAACAATTTATTTCCTGAACATTTGCTTACTGTGTGATTCAGAGGGGTATTTACCTTCTCTGAACTTAAATTTTCTGAGCCATGAAATGCAAATAATACTATGACTTCTAAGTCAATGAGAGGATTTTATGTTGATAGTCAATTGTACATTATTACGAATAGCATTTTAGTGAAATTCCAAGAGTATTTTTCATGATGTTTTTCAAGAACAATGTATACAAAATGTCAACTTCCATATCTGTATGAAAGTGTTTAATATCTACATTATATAAGACATCCTGCTGGGTTCTATTCCACACGGTATAGAACTTCCCAATTATTTTAAATTCTATCCAGTTTTATTTGGTGCCCATGACAATTGTCTAGATAACTTGGCAGGATTGTTTTGGAAGAAACAAGCCAGCTCAGAGAAGCTAAATCCACTATCTGATGTCATGTTGTTAAAAAGTGTAAGGGAACCCAGGTCTTTGTACATAGAACACACAGCACATTTCCCTGTTGAGCTCAATCATATCAGAATTTTCCGTGTCCTCTTGAAGAGTTTTGGATGATTTTATTGTAAGGTTCTTTAAACAGGGTCACTGTTGGTGATAGTCTAATATCCACAGCAAAGTAAATTTACAGCAGTTATGATAGTTTAGTGGAGTCTTTGATACTAGAATATATTTATTTAAATAAAGCTTTTTACTTAGTTTTACTGACATCATCGAGTAAAACTAACTAAAACCAGACACTCTGTTAGGAACAGTGATGTGAGAAGCATCACTGTTAATATTTACTAGTAGTCTCAATTAGGACAAAAACCTCTGGCCGGGGATGGATGGATACACAGAAGGCAGGCTGGGTTATTATTGATTCTTCCTGTTGCATAGGGACTTTCATCATTGTGGATAGGTTCACACACATCCAATCTCAGCCCACACACACACATGCACATTTGTGCACACATAGTGCTTTGCTGGCTTAAGCTCTTCCTGAGAGACCAGGCTCATAGCTGCTAATGGAAGAGGTACCTGGGACCCAGTCTGGACTTTGTCAACTGTGTCTCTGGATATTTTCAGATGCTCTTGAGCTGACCCAGTAGGGTGCAAAATCCATCAGAATTTCTTTTTTTTTTAATTTTTTTTTTTTTTTTTTTTTTTGTCTTTTTCGTTTTTATCGGTACCAGGGATCGAACTCACGACTGCCTGCTTGCAAGGCAGGCGCTTATGCCGCTGAGCTAAATCCCCAGCCCCAATCCATCAGAATTTCAAACTATGGCACTAAGTAAGCTTTGATGCTACATCAAAAAGAAAGGAAGCACAGCTGACTTTACGACAGCAGGTTCATTCATCTCCATCCAGCAAACAAGGCGCTGTTCTCACCCAGAGAGGATGGGCATCCATTGCAGGGACACCCCCTTATCTTTTAATGTGTAATTTGGCACTGCACGGATAACTAATCAAGAAAGTCTGGAAAAGCTTTCGTCCCACAGCCTTGCCTCAGAACATGTGAATAATTAAAGCACTAGTGACGCTCAGGGTCTGCTGCTGCTAGCATGAGAATGACATGTTTTTATGGCTGTGAAGAAGAGGAAAACAATGCCATTTCACGATATGTTTGTAAATATTTTTGGAGACTGAACAATTCTATAAAGTACACAATGTGAAATAGTACATAGAAAGTCATAGCATGTAAGAAATACCACAGAAAGAAATCAATTATCAAGAAAGGTGAGACATTCTTAAAATCTAATACTTAAATATATACATGATACTCCATATTTGAAATTCTAATAAAGCAACAGTAAGATTAAGTTTCTTGACTGTAATATATATTTATTTCCATTTAATCATTTTATATGTATGCTTTACCATCTATCTGAATCAGAAATCTAGGCTTCTGAAATGGAAGGTACTTGACCTTCCTAAGGATTTTGTCTATTTTATTTGCTCTGAGCAGGTGTCCTGTTTTCCTTCTGGCTGCAGTTGCTAGAACAAATCTTTATCTCTGGAATAAGACATGCCACTTACCGCAGTGTCTGGGGGCGGGGCTGCCGAGTGGGTGGTTGCAGCCGGGGCCTGGGAAACCACTTCAGAGATGGCAGCAGAAAGTTTAGCATGGTCGAATTTCTTTCATTAAAGAAAAAAAATTATCAGTACTGTGTTGTGTGGAACATTATGCCCACCATGCCATCACTTCAAATACAACTCTGAAGAAACCTTTATGACTGCTCATTCTCTTGGTTCAAATGCATGCATAGTAGCATATAATCTTAAAAGCAATCTATGTACTTCCTTCTCCATATTACCTTAAATGGTATCTATTTCTTGCTTCATATTCATTCTTGTAAAAGTTTTTTAATAATCTAAGGACCTAGAGTTCTGTGCTTTGTTTACATATTTCCTGTTGTATATGTAAGATAGTCAACATTTTTCAACTTTTCATAATTAATTGCTTCCTCTAAGTATCAGAAATGGGTCTTTTTATAGTGTTGTCTCTTCAGTAATCTACTAAATATCTCAGAAACAGCTTAGAGTTCATGTTGTTGTAACAAAGAATGAGCATGTATGTTTTCCCACGGCTCTGCTTGAAAACATTGGATTTTTCTTACATATTTTAGCCATCTTTTACATCTATGGATTTAAGTGACTTTAGTCAGTATTCGATGAGGTTTTACTATCTGCACTATGATCACTTGTAGAATCACCTACGGAACACCACCTTTTGTGATGAACTTTATGTCACACAGAAATTGAGTGTTAAATATTTCAAAGAATTATCTTTAAACCTATGGTGGAAAACAAGTTCAAGAGTATTTCTAATCTCCTCTTCAGCTTTCCTTTAAGTTTTATGAATTGTTCTGTTTCGCATTTCTTGCTTAAAATTTCATAGAAAATTATTGTACATAATCTTTCCTAATAATTTACTTTAGCTCTTGTACTAGTTATCATATATTCTAATTCTTGCATTAAATTTTATATTATTTTAAAGTTTTTCTATTATATCTGCTAGGGCTTTATAAAATGTTAGATATTCATAAAAACCAACTGATGATTGTCTAACCTCTCAACAGCTGTCTCATTTTAAAATTTGACTTACACGATTTTTCTTACATTTGCCAGCATCTTAGAAAGTACTAGTCTTTTTTTTTCCAAAAGCAATAACCCACGTGGCTTCTTCCCCTGAAGAAGCTCCAGGCTTCTTCATCTTCTTTTGGGGGTTATTGTATCTTTTAGAAACTTAAATTCTAAATTCAACACACACTTGGGTCATTAAGTTTTCTTTTTCCATTATTTAAAAAACATTTAAGATAACCAGTATATCTCATAAGTACTGCGTTGGCTGCTTCTCAAAGATTTTAATTTGCGACATCTTCCTGATTTTTTTAAAATAGTCTATTATGAACTTACTTCTTGCTTTCAGCATCATCAGAGGAATATTTTAAAATTTCCATCTTTTAATAGAATTTCTATTCTGTTTTCTTACAATCAAAGAACATGTGCCATCTCCCCCGCCAGAGTTCTTGGGACTGTTCTCTAAAATAATTTTCTAGTTCGTCCATGTGTTTTTTGGTTATGTCTACTTTATTAACCAAATTGTTGGCACTATACTTTGCTAGATTGTTAATTTTTTAGGAATAGTACTGTTTAAGATTTTTTTTTATAATAAGTCATTTCTCTGCTCCTTCAATACCTTCTCAAGGTGAATATGGGAATCTCATATAAATTCAGTGTTCCAGTTTAGATTCTGAAACAGAGCCCTAACTATGGCAGTAGTGATAATAATGGCAATCATGAGGAAGAAGGCTTTGCTCCCCCACCACAGGCTTGCATGTCTGCATTACAAAATGATTCCAGGATACTAACGCACACTGTATCTTTCTCTGTATCTTACGGTTTCTAAATCAGCCAGAGGCGCCCATCTGAGATGTGCACTGCTTTTATAGAGAAGAGGAAGGTCCTGGGCTGGGGTGACTGCATAGTATGGTGATTTTAGGGGTGCAGTGAGGAGCACACACTGGGTAGCAGCCCCTTCTTGAGGGCTTATTGCTTCAGCAAGGGCAGATACTTAGGCTACTCCGCAGTATCATCATTTCTTGTCCTATTTTCCAACTGGTAAAATTTCTATGCCATATTTCATGTAGGAATCTGTTGATGAGTTTCCAACTGACTTCCCACAATATATTCAGGGGCTTGCACACTGGGTTTGCTGTTAATGTCTAACTCAGACCTTAGAGTTCTGTAAGTTTGAGAATTCTTAACAAACTTGTACACGTGTCTATTGCAAGACATAAACATCCTACAGTAGAGAAGTATGCTTGGTATTTATTACTCAGTATTGTTCAAATTATCCAGCAAAAGAATGTTCTTAAGGGGACTATCATACATGGAGCTAAGTTTCCTTAGGAAGAAATCTGGAAAATGGTAAATATTAGAAATAACAGATAAAGTGGTCCGAGAAGTGATTTTGAATAAATTGAAACTTACATTCTTTTTCATAAGAGTACATGGCTTAGTGCATATTCATTGGTCCAGTCATGAGATTATGGAAACACTTTGCACTGTTATAGAATGGTATTTCAGGGTGGGGCACATTTTTATTGGTTATAGTAGGTTGAGGACCATTAATCTTTTAACTGTTTCCTTAGCTCCCAAGTTAGACTGTAAATTACAAGTTTCCATTTATTTGCACCAAAAATAAACCAGAGGTTTGAGACTTACAAGAGGGGAGGTATCTGGAGGACTGGAGAAGTCCTGAGACAGTGCATCAAGAAGGAAGTCTTCACTGAAGGGCTGCAAAATCCAGAAAAGTTAGCAACAAAAACTGCCTACACCTGTCTGCTCTTCCTAGTGTTGTCATTAGAACATGCTAATCAGCTCAGAAAAAGAAAACCTATTCCCTCCCGCAAATATTCTCTAAATGTACAACTCAATCATTTTATTCAGTGATATTCAATGGTATTGAAACATATATGAAACCATCATCAAGATCAATATTTGAAAATATTTACTCCAAAGACAACTGTGCACTTTAGCTACTGACACTTGATTCCTCAATCCCCAAGCAACCATTAATCTAATTTTTGTTCCTGTCTTTCTAGACACTTCCATGTGTGTGCAATCATATAATGTGTGGTGTTTTGAGACTGGCTTCTTTCATCTAGCAAAATGGTTTCAAGATTCATCCACAGTGTAGCATACTTTTAGTACTTCATTCTCTTTTATGATTAACATTCCATTCTTTCCCAAATTATCAGTTATCAATCAATGCCTAAAGGAGAAGGACATCCAGGTTTCATAGAAAATGGTTTGCTTACTGGAAGTGGTTCCTTGGCTTCTTTTGGAAGGAGTGGTTTTCCATCTTTATCCTGTTCAGGGAGAAAACATCGTTGAATCATTTCACATTTTATTCCAACTATAAAACCTGCATGCACTGCAAAAAATACAGATTATACCTGCTGTTGTATACTTTAAGTTGGATTCATCATTGCAGGAAATATTCTATCAGCAGAAAATACACTCTTAAGTTCATGTCAACAGTTTGCTCACATGCACCAGGTATTACCGTGGAACGGGGGCTGCATACCAGATTAGGCATGGCAGTGGCTCCCAAAACCCCAGAGACCCAAAGTGCAGGAGAAACACACACAGTCAATGTTGTGGCATGTGGTGGTGTGATGGGGATTTGCAGACAGTGGAAGAGGAGTCCCTCACCTTCCTGCAGTGGGTTTGGAAAAGGTTGCCTAGAAAATTCTGGCTAACAACATAAACCATGTATCCGACTAACCTGCATTAATTACGTGTCAAGCCTAACCTAAGCACTGGGAATGCACAGAAATGTTGAGAACATCAGCAAAATGGCTTTTTAAAAACTCTGTTGCATGTATTTAAAATGTGTGGTACAAGGATCTGGAGATGTCACCTGCTTCCCTTGATGCAAACTCCCTTACTCCCTTCTCCGCTGAAGTTCACATGCATCTTTTAACCTCCCTTCAATTCATAAGCAAAGCCGAACCTGAGCCAGTTCTGTGCCACCAGTTCACTGTGGGACCAAGGGGACCTGACTGCTACACAAAATGAAATTGGTCTCCCAGCCCTCACTCAGTATGAGCTGGTCAAGTGCAGTTACTCTTTATTGTAGGTGGCTGGTTAATTGCTCTGTGTCTTCGCTGAATTTTTAATAGCAGCGTTTCAGTGATTCGCTTTCCCTGACCACTTTATTCCATGCTCGTTTCATCACCCTCTGAACTCCTCTGGCATACTATGCATTATCTGTCGCTTCATAACACTTCCAGGTCTTTACTTGATCTCTCATTGAAATGCCGCACTGTTATCCATCAACTACACTCACTGCGGGTCTCCACGAAGTGAGGAGCAGACCCCACACTTCCGCTTCCACACACTCCGTGAAGAGGCACTGCATCTACACATCTGCCCCTTCTAAGTGGCCGCATTTAACTTATGAGGTTCGCAGTGGGGTTTTTCCTTGTGTCACTAATTCTGCACAATCTGTACCTTAACCATCAAGGAAATAGGTCAACTTGCCACTTTATTCAATGGTAAACTGGCTCTCATGTTTCAATGTATATCTAAGAGTTGCAAAGTTTTCCCTAAAAGCACATAATTGTTTCTCAGTTTGTATTTCCTACCTGAACAAGGCTTTATACATTCTTGTTTTGTAGTAAACCATGGTTTGAAGGGAAAACATAAGTAGCCTAGCTATTAGATTTCTTTCACTTAAAGGAGGACTAGCTTTACATTTGGTGTTCCAACAGCTATTTGTGGACTAATACTATTTAATGATTAAATATTAATAAACAAGATCTTTACATTCCAGGTCCATTCCCGTGTCTTATGTATATAAAATGGAATACATTTACAAAAAGATATGAAAATATCCTAGCCTGTTTACCTTAACTTCTTCTAGTCTGTAATCAGGAGGAATTGTTTCTTCTTTTTCACCAAGTTTTTCACGGTCTTCTTCTGTGGCCTTATCCTGAATAAAAATAGACCATTTTCATTGTTAATCTATCTTTCTTCTATGAAATGGACGCCTGTGTAAATCTGAAGTCAATCATTCTATCATTAGGTTCATGTAGCATACATATGTTGAGACTTGCCCAGCAATTTAATCTTTGCTACGGTATCTAGTTTAGCAGGCTCAGAACACCCCACATGAGCTGCTCAGTAAGAGGCAGGTGGTAACAAGCAGTAGCCAGCAGCTGCTGTTTCAGGTCCTCTGGAAACACAGATGAGCAAAGGTGAAAGGTGGCAAACACGGACACAGGCACACTCACCCACTGTGGTGTTTAAACACGCTCGCTTCCCCAGGCTAAGTTTATTTTGTGTAGTAATAGAAAAAGCCAGCTGATCGTGTCTTGTGGATAATATATTTTTTAAAGTTTATAGGAGTGGTGTTCAATGATAGTCATTTTCTGAAAGTACCTAAACTGCCCGCTGTACCTTGATTTTGTCCACCACAGGTTTTCCATCATCTGGATCTGCTTCCTTCTTCCCCAGGCTACTAGCCAAGGCTTCCACAGCATCGTCTGGCACTGCGCTCTTCTGGAAGGACACAGGTGAGATACTAAGTGGGAGCTGAGTCACTCCTTTGATAGCAGACACAGACCCCCTCAAACACCTCCCAAAGGCGTGTCCTTATTTCAAGCCAAGACAAGATACATGCACAGCCTTTAAATAATTTGAATTGTCCATTCAACTAGAATTGGTATTTAGCAACTGAAATGCTAAAAAATTAGATCAAGTTTCTTACATTAAAACATTAAATATGTTTACTGAGGAACTTATATAATCTATCCAGAGTTTGGGTTTAGAAACAAAGAAAGTAAGGAAGATAGAAGCTGAAATCCAGGAAAGAAGAGAGAACTGGTCTTTACGACCAACGTTCTATAGACAGTATAGGAAAGATTTCAGAAAACCCACAAGAAAACCTCCTTCCCCCTGCTGCAGCTTGAGGCCTGGCAAGTGTCAGGGAGGAGGAACGGGAGTGTTTCCGATATGGGCTTCTCCTATCTGGGCAACTAAGCTGGGGGCACTGCAACAACTGACTGCAGTGGTCCAGGTGTTCAGAATGAAATGTGCTCCCTCTGGCCATGCTGGTATTTAAAACCAACAGATAAACACTGAGCACAAAAGATGAAACCAAGTTAGTGCTGAAAGACAGAACTAGTTCTGGATTTGCCTAATGATCCATATACTGGTGGCTCATAAAAATCAACTGAATGGTTCCTGGCCAGGACTTTTCTCTTTAAAATAAATGATAGAAAATGGAATGTATCATACTTAACACGAGTAAGGATCATTTATTGAGCTTTTTTTTCATTTTCTACACTGGACTGCAATATCGTGAGTTTCCTACCATTGATCTTTGTCAAATGAAGACCCTTGGACTATCCAGGCTCAGAGATGGCTTTTTTTTTTCATATCAGAGGTTGAACTCAGAGTTTTGAGTGCACGCTAATCCAACACTACTGCTGAGCTGCATCCCCAGTCCTCAGAGTTTATTCCTATCATGACAATCTCTGCTATCAATCACATCAAGGGTCTACTGGACTATCAAAATATCTCCCTAATAAGAATGCCTTGCTAAGATATTTTTACTAGATATTTACATATAACACATATTAATAGACGTGTATGTGTATACATCTTAGCCATCATCATGGTAATTGAGAACAACTGTCTTTCTGCTACACTGCACTACAGAAGAAAGGACCATCCATGAGGAAGGGGACACAATCCGTAAAAAGTGATTTATCGCCACCTTGTGGTTAGACTCTATGTAAATCTTTTACAATTTCACTTTTTAAAATCCCTGAGGTCTATTGCATTGTTTGGGATTCTACCTAATTTGTAAGTACTGGATTGGTACTCCAAGACTTATGGACAAGCTGAGCTGCTTGCTGCCTGCTCTGGGACACCTGTTTACTTCTCCATTCTGTTTTCTCATTCCCTGAGCTAGAACCTCTGGAAACCACCGCTTCGCAAGTCTGCACTTTTTGTCACCCTCGGATTTAAGACGTTACTAAAACCAAATTAAAGAAAAATTAGGAGAAGCAGTTTTTAAGATTCAAAGAATCTGAAAACAGGACTAGAACCTACAGATTTCATTTCTGTAGTATTTCATATTGTCAAATTCAGAACTAGAACTCAGGTCTCCAAAATTCCTTCACACGTTTTCTTTTTACACACACACACACACACACACACACACACACACACACACCACCCTGCTACATATTCACCTCCTTCCTTGATCTGTTTCCCTTTACACACTGATCCTCATGCTTTCTTGAGGCCTCTGACCTTTATAACCATTATTCTTCCTGGTTTCCAACCGTGTCAAATCCCCAAACGTCAATGGTTTTAGTGATAGTAACCTTGGCAACTGTGGTCTGAACAGGTGGAGTAGAGACCCAGGAAAGGATTCCAGGGAAGAGGTAGACCAGAGCTCTTTTGCTATCCACTAAGCACCCAATGTCTAATAGTCTGTGGCCAGAACAAAGCTGGAAAGGCAAGCTTTCTCAACCCCTCCCTGACAATTACATTTGGCATGTATACCCAGCACAGGTTTTGGTCCAAGAGCTCACCCCTGGAATGCTACTCTGTTGTCTTTTTCCTTTCAGTCACTACTTCTTGCTGGTCACTGGATCTCCCTGGATTCTCTTGCCTCCTTTTCTTAAGACCATGGCCTGTGGCCTGTCCCTCACAAGTAAAAGCTTTTAGAGAGACCCAGAAACCTCAAAGACATTCATAGGTGGATGGGGGTGGATCAAGCCCTGTCTGAGGCAGAAGGAAGACCTGGGGCTCTCAGGATTTGCAGCTGGCACCATGTGCTTCCCGGGCAGGAGGCAGCAATCCACAGCACTCAAATACTTGAGCTCCACCATCTTTGAGGCCCCTTTTTCTTAAGCAACTGAATGCACACATCCCATGCAGGCCAGTGCTTCCTTCTCGTTTCTGGTCTGGTCTTTCCTGGCTCAGTGGCCTCCCTGGAAAATGGTGCTATTCCCACTTCTCACTGCCTTTTACCTGACAGCCCCTCCTAATCCCCCTGGAGAGGGGCTGTTTCTCACATTCCATCTGCCCCTTTTTCATAAGAATGATCAAATCGTATCACACAACAGAGATACCTCTGATTTCAGTTGAAGCTATGAAATGTTAGGCTGGTCACCCAAAGTTAACTCATCACCTCATTTCTCCTTCCATTCCTCTTTCCCTCATCATCTGATGATCAGACAGATTTTAGTGTCCTTGTAATTACTGAATGAGAAGATAGTGCAAAGTATAAAGAACAGTGGCATCACAGATGATGAAACTACTCAGTATGCAATTTACACACTGAAGTATATAGTAGAATGTTGTTCTTTGCATTACATTTTATGATCAGCCAATGGAAACAACACCAACTGAAGTCAAAAGGAAATAAAGATTCAACTAATTAAATACTGTAATTCACAAAAAATTTAGAAAGTGAGAGGGAGACAAAAAAAATGAAGAAGGAAATGAAAAAAATTGAGTCAATCTTTCCTCTTAAAATTTAGCTGGGAAACTGGAGAGAAGTCATAATCATTTTGGTGCAATTACGTATTCCACTGGGAGAGTCAGTAGAAAACATAGCCTCAGGCTCCAAAATGACTTGAAAGATGCAAAAAAGGGAGAAGCAAGATTATTCAGGATTATTGTCAGCTATGACAAGAGCCAAGGAAGTATAAATAATTTTAGAAGATGAAAGAAAAACACAGCTTATAGCAATTTAATTAACAATTTAAATCTGGCCTGCATTTCCAGCACTTTTCTGAAGCCCAAAGAACAACAGGTAGTAGTGAATAGCAATATCAGATTTTAACTTTATTTTCTTAGAATAAAAGAAATCGTAAGATGGTAAGGTACAGCAGAGAGTGAAGGGAGAAAGAACAAAAGTTTCTCGAGGGGCTGGGGATTTAGCTCAGCAGCATAAGCACCTGCCTTGCAAGCAGGCAGTCGTGAGTTCGATCCCCGGTACCGGTAAAAACGAAAAAGACAAAAAAAAAAAAAAGTTTCTTGAGACATTTCACGACATGCCCGCATCACTCACCGTGGAAGCTGGCTTGGCGGGCACCGCCTGTATGCTACACATCGAGGAGGAAGACACCACCTCTACCACAGGGACTGGGGCAGCAGCCTTCGATTTCTGGAGAAAGAAAGAAGCCAGTACTGTGAATAACTTCAGAAATAGCTGGTTAATAAGACAGTACCGATAAACTGGCATGACACTCTGAAATTACACGTTATGAGCACGATTCTCTTGAATGCCTGAAGATTGTCAAAACATATTAAAGTCTTCAACTATCATTATTTCAACTTGGAGACTGTTTCTACAACTGCAGAGGTGAGAACAATGCTACTACCTAGAACTCTAGGGTTGATACGAAGCTTATTAAGTGAGATAACACACAAGATGTGCTATGCACAATACCTGGGTATACTGTCAATTCCACACATTTGAGAAATTATTGTTTTAATTTGTATTATTTTATTTATATTAAATGTCATAATATGTAAAAGTAAAATGTATTTATTATGTAATACAATATTAAACAAATATATATATATATCACACTGCAAATTAGAAATAGCTATGTATGAATGAATTCAAAGTTGCACTTTTGTTCCAGCTGTTCTCAGGACTAACAGCATCAGAACTACCAGGGAACTTGCTAGAAAACAGATTCTACCCAGTGTAATAAAGTAGAAATTCTAGAGATAGAATCCTGCAAGTCATGTTTTAATAAACTTTCCAGGTAATCCAAGTGCATGCTAAAGTTGAACCAATATACTATCTTAGCAGAGGAATAAAAAATGAAATTGTTTTAAATTCAGTTATTTTCAAAAGCCTGTCCTACACGCAAGGTACCCAGCATATGATCGACAGGGTGTGACCTCCTCTTTTAAAGAACTTATTGCCCATTTAATGCTACATGTTAATGTTAGAGATGAAAGACTAATAAATCTAAAACTTGCTTCAAATGCTTTAACAGGGATATATAAAAACACCCACAGCCCATGGCCCTTGTAGAAGTCGCCTTAATACAGACTAGAAGGGTGGTATGCTTAAGGGAGGGAAAAGCAGGAGATAAAGAAAGGCCATATTTCAACAGAACCTTAGAAGAGTAAGACTTCAGTTGCCCCAGAGTTAGGAGGAAAGTTTGTTTCAGGCAAAAGAATCTGAGTAAGAAAAACCTTGGTGATACCCATGTTTGTCACTGAGTGATGCAAAGAGCCTGATTGGCAGGGACTGAAGCTGGAACATTCCAGAAAGCTTTAGTGGGAACTTTTGTTTTGTAGGGAATAGGAAACTCCAGGTGGAGGGCAGGGGAATGATGTGATCACAACAGGCTTCAGAAAGAATCATTCTGGTGACCATGAATGATGGGGGAGAAAGAAATTGAAAAAACCACTGAGATCCCGAGGGCAGAGGTGACAGCAACTTCAGTGGTGTCCATGGCAGAAGCAGAAATAGACAGGAAAGCACGGATCTGAGGCCTTCCCTGAAGGAATAACTGCAGGACTCCAGTTGCAAGAATATCAGGCTTAGCATGGGGAAAGAAAACACTTCCAGAAAAAGATAAGGCAAAAACTGCGTGTCTAAAAGACGGCACAAAGGGCTTCTCAGCCAACTCCATGTTAAAATAGTTTTGATTTCACAGAGTTTAAGATTAAAAAAACATAAAAATCTCTCAAAACCAGAGATTCACATTTCCAGAAACATACTTCTGTTTTTTCAGTTGGCTTAGATTGTTTCTCTTTATGTTTAGCACGGTCAAAGTCTTCTGAAAGTTCATCAATGAGTTCTGATTCACTCAGGAGCTGTAACATAAGAAACACTGTATATTATGAAGTAACTGTTTTTACTTTGGAAAAGCATGTTTTCCTAGAGTAATATTTTCCTGGTTAACATGTATCAGGCCATATTTTAGGATCTAAAACCAGAATCTAACTTATACAGGGCCTATTTTTCATTTATCAATGCAAGATGAAAATGTCAGGAAACAAGCAAGGAATACTGAATAAATCAGCAGTACTACAAAAAGCATGGTTTGTTTAATTACAAGTTTTCTTGGTATTTTAACTACAGAAGAATTCTCTTCGAATAAATTGATTATTATATGACTTGCTTTCTTAGTAACTTTCTTTGCTTAATAAATCAGAAAAAAACCCAGGTCATGTATTTTTTTCTGATGCTGCTGTGTATTTCTGATGGAAATGTTCTAATTTCCTCCATCTTTCAGGGGATGTGGTACTCTTAGCTTGGGTTGTAAGTAGATGAAATTCTGTAAGTACTAACAATCTCATCGAAGAGCTCTGTCAGCGTCAGCTCCCAATGTTCAGTGGGGGTGTCCTAGAAACTCACAGCCTACTAATAATTTAATAACAAATAATCATTGGAATATATCAAGAGGAGCCAAAGATATCAGTCAAATGTCACCATCAAAAGTTTTCCCTCTCAACATGAAGGTGGTCTTAGGTCTCCGTTGCAAAGTCTGATCTGTCTAAAGTATCATAAAAAACAAAACATTTTTTTTCCAACCTTAGGTTTTTCTTCAGGCTCTGGCAATAGTGGTTTTCCATCTTTATCCTGTAAGCAAAATTGAAAAGTCATTGGAAATAAAACTGAGAATTTTGCTTATATTTTCCATTGCATTTGGTTTTGAGAATTCCAGGATATAAGATCAGATATATGCTTGTTTTTCTTATATTTGAGTACATTTATGATTTAGATTTAGTTTTTATAAAGCATTAGAACGAGCTGAGCTATGAAAATCAAGACCAAATATGATGCACATTTATTTCCCATTAGAAGTTGCTGATGAAACAGAAACAAGATTACAAGTTTGAGCCCAGCTCGAGTAACAGCAAATCAGGAAGATCATGTCTCCAAAACAGATATAAATAAAAAAGGAATAGGAATGTGGTCAGTCTGGAGGGTCTGCACTTCATCCACAGTACCACAAAATTAAAAAGAAAAACAAAGAAGTTACAGAAAAAGCTGTTTGCTACTTGTTAGGGCAGTGCAATAATAATTTTTATAAATGATCTTTGAGGAATAAAAGTGTAACCACATAATGGAAAAATGTTTTTAAAGTCTTAATTCTCCAACTCAGGGTGAAAAGATATATATCACACTTATCATTTTTGTAATCAATACTACTTAGCATTTTTAAGTATGAAGTTTCACAATTTAGAAGATTTCAAAAAATGAAAAATTTTCAGATGTAGATATGTATGAATCACTGCTAATTTCTATCTCACATTTATATGTATTTCCAAAGATAAATCAGATATGTAATGATAGTCCACCATTCTCACCATAAATCAGAACGGCACAACTACCTCAATACTGAGGATATTACTAAGGAACTGTACATTTACAAATGGAGGTTTAGAAGATTTAGGGTACTTTTTATTCATATTACAGTTAGAAAAAACATTATTTCTAAACTGTCCTTAGGCTGTAAGGGTCAGAGTCAAGTGCTGTGCGTAGTAAAAGACTTGAATTTGTGGGAATGTTACCGAAAACATGGTCACACTCAGGAAGCCAGGCAAGGACAAACCACTGCATAACAGCAGAGGAGAAAAAGGGCTCAGGGCTTTCAGAATTAACAACTGAGCAAGCACAGACTTGTCATTAAGCAAATAGCACACAGACAAAACAAAGCACGCCGCCAAGGAGCAGGAAGTGCGCGGTTGCTAGGCTGACTGTACCGTGGCTGGTTTTAGCCTGTATTCAGATGGCACTGTTTCCTCATCCTCACCACACTTCTTTAGTTTTTCTTCTTTAGCTTTTGCCTAATGAAAATGGAAATAAAAAGCAAGTAGTTGGATAATGCATGTAAAATGAGATGGTATCACATGCCCTGTGTCTTCCCCAGAACACCAAATCAGATCCTGGAATCCAGAAGAGCTCCAGAAACTATGAAGCCCAAGGCCATGGTGAGCAGCTAGAATCAGGGCAGCAGAGGAGACAGTACAAGAGGGAGTCACCCAGCCAGTCTTCGGTCTGCTTTATTCAGCTGTAAAATGTGACTCTAACAATCCTCACCAAGCTTACTGGATCACTAGAGAAAAGTAAAGAAAGGATCCTTGGAAGATAGAGAGCACTGGGTGGAAGTTAGCTGCAGTTATTGTAATAGCCTTTATCTGCCTGAGTCAATGAGGCAGTTATCTAAAGCGTGGAGAGCGCGCACAATGGACTCTCATACCCAGTTCAGAGATGGCAGAAGCATCTCATCACAGATCTTGGCTGATGCATAAACTGGTGCAAACCTTTAAAAAAAGACTTCCTTCACTATTGCCAGGGCTTCGCTATTTACTGAACCATGAACAACTGTTTATATTACAAATTAAAGTGTAGTTGCAGCATAGATTACAGACTTAGAGGACATAACATTTGCAGTTTAATGTACTGGTGAGTAGGGACATATTCTATAATATGTAATAATCAGTATCTGTATAAAGCCATGACTTTAATTCACAAACCAAGGGGAAGTCTCCTAACTCCATCCACTGTTTCTATGTACTTGTCACTCATGACTGCATTTCCTGCTTGATTCATTAGGTGATTAATTTTTAAAATTTATTAGGCACTTCTAGTAAGTTTCTACTTTAAGGTCTGGAATTGTAGCTTTATTTTCTGTGGGAACCCTCATTAAGGGATAAAAGGTTTCTGTTCAACTGTCCAGTTTTATTCCAGTGCAGCATATGGGGAAGTTTTATTAGGTAGTATTACCCTCGGTTTCAGGGATTTGTATATAAGGTCTTTTTGGCCATAAAGCCTTCATGAACAGCCAGGGCCACCTATATAGTGAGACTGCCTTTCTCACTACACTCTGGGCTGCGGATGGACAGCGGGAAGTGTGGGCTCCTAAACCTCTGCTTTTCCTTTGATTCTAATATTTCTGAAATATCTGTCTTACCAATTTCACACTATGGGCATTGGGAAAAAGGTCTATCAAACTGAAATAACATTGGGTGATGTAACTCCACCTAAAAATGGGAGGGGACTCTCAGTAAACATTATTATACAATAAACATTTAATTTATGTTATGATACACTGCAATATAAAAATTCATCAGGCACGGGTCTCTTCTTTGGAGTATGACACTTTTCTTAGAGCTCTCTGGAGCAGTGAATCTGCCCGAGTTTGGTACTGGACCCCTGAGTGCCAGCAAATGTTAGCAATTTTATCAAAACCTCAGACTACATTTTCAGGTTGTAAAGACCCACCATCAAGGACTGTGAATTTAGTTCAAGAATCTAAAGAACTAAAAGATAGCCCCAAGGAATATTTATGTTTTGGACAGATTAAAAGAGAAAACTAGAATGCCCTATAAGTGTGCAAAAGGAGCTCTTTTTGCTAGAATTTTAGTTTGCTGCTGTTCCACACTTTCCTAGAGGAAACAGGAATACATTTCCCACTCACCTCCAAACCAGTTACGCATACTACTTTATAAGTTCTTTTTATGTCACTTTTAACATCTACTCATCTGGTTTTAGTTGCTGTAAGATTCCTTTTGCCCTGGGATTTATATTATGCTTATATCTTTCCTGTCCACATTTACTGCCTTATAAAATCACTGTGTTTGTAAAAATCCTAAGGCAAAAGTGTAATTCATTCCTGTGTAGCCTTAGGGTAGTGAAACCACCACTTAATCCAGTCTCCCAAGCAAGTCCCCCGAGTTCTGTCAGGACCATCTTTTCCTTGCGATGTTGCGGAGTCTATGTGACTACTTAAAGTACACTTTGCAAGGTGTACCAGTCATGGTTCCCTTTCTTCCCAATACATTACTTGAAAGACAGGGACTGCCTCTCCTGCTCCCTGGTGTTCTCTGTCATGAAGGTTGTTGTACCACACTGTGGCCAGGGAGCCCTCCAAGGAAGTAGAAGACAGAAACTGTCCCATCGTAGACCAGCTCTGGGGAACGATTCCTGAGTCAGTGATGATGACGACTTAGAACAGGAAGTGACATCAGAGGCAGGGGCATTGTGACAGGCACCTGCCAGCTTCCCTTCCCTGAGCTGATAGGGTTATTTCTTCCTCCCCTAAGACATGACCTGTTGGGAACTGGCAACTCTTCTTTCCCTCTCTTTTTCCTCAGAGAATCAAGTTGAAAAATTCTACCAAAACTATAATCTAATAGCAAGGCCCTCCCAGAGCAGAGACAAGTGGTGTTGGCTCAGAACTCTTGCTGGAGTCTCAAAGGCTGGCGAGATAAACACTCACGGGGACCACACTCTGCATGTGCAGGAGCCCTCTGGTGAGGAGTTCTTGTTGATTTTATTCTCATTTGAGACAAATTCTTCAACATCTTCCCCTATAGAAATGTAAGGATTTTCCCAACCTTTCATAATCTCCCTCCTTGTAAAGAGATTTGCTTAGAACCCTTCAGAAAATGCAAATTAATGATTTCTGTGAAAGCAAACAGATCTCGCTCTTTCTCACAGTCTGCTGTTATCTTGTTTAGTCAGGTACTATTTAAGCTTTGAGAGAGGACATTATACTCATCTCAAATATACACTCAAATAACTCTCCTGGTTCCTAACTACCAGTAATAAATGCTTAAATGAACCAGATCTCAAACCAAGGCCAAATGAAAAGTAGCTCATTTTTAAGTCCCAATAAAATGAAACCCATGCAAGAATTTTAAACATATGCAAAGCATCCAGTTTTGTACAGGCTAATAAGCTGCGTCTATCAGCTCCAAAGTCAGTACCTCATCGACTTCCTTAAGAGAGCTGAGGTCGAGCTCAGGTTCCGGTTCCCGGGTACCCAGTGAAGCTGACAGGGCCTCAACTGCTTGATCACTCATAGCATCCTGTTAAAAGTGAGAAATTTTGGGTGTGAAAACAAGAAAATCTCTCCTGAGCCCATGTAATCTATTTCTTCTTTGTGAAATACACGTTTTAAAGATAAAAGATGAATTGTGGATTGGGAAAATACTTAGGAAGGCAATTTTTTGAAATCTAAGCGAAAGAGAGGAAGGAAAAAGAACTTACCAGTGAGTTAAAGTTGTGGCTGGGACACGTTGCTATAATAAGAGCCCTTTCCAGGGTTTCCTTCACCTCTTATTTTGCAGGTCAGAAGTATAACTACACAAATTATTATATTAATATAAAATATCCTTATCAAAATAAAGCTGCAGGTAGTGAACTTTCACTGTCCTGTGAAAACGTGTCTCTCCAAGTGTGTCTCCAAGCTCTGCCCTTCAGCAAACCAGAAATGCTCAGAAAGCAGGGAAACCTGAAGTGGGCCTGGTCGCCGCTGTCTTCTCCGGAGCCACAATGGCTCATGGTGGAAGGAACTCCTTCTCTTAGGGTGTGGCGCTCACCCGTTCCCCCAGTCAGCCAGATAAAAATGAATTCTCCATTCTGGGAGAGCAGATGCAGAAGCAGCTCTGATAGAAACTGTCCTTTGCATTATCTGGACTCTGTCAACCAGCCCAGAGTTGCAGAATGGACTGAATGGAAGTCTTAACTCTTGGCGCCTCAGGACTTAGGAGAAGGAAGGCAGTTGACTGTGGTTAAGAGAGTGGGCAGAAAAAGTGACAGTGATATCCCTCTAATGATATATGTGGCTCAAAATCAAGCTGAAGAATTTATGTCCAGTGAGTGCAATTCTGTTTTCTGCTCCTCTGTGTATTGTAATGGTGAGATGGACTTGGATCACAACCAAGAAGCCTGCACAAAACTCATTCACGAGGATTTACAGAAGCTCACAGGCTTGTCCGGAAAGAGGATCAAACAGCCTCATCGGCTTCTACACAGAGCTGGGGGAGGAAACCTGCTCCTCACTATGCGAAACGCCCTCCTAGGGTTATTCTGAATAAGCAAGAGCAAGGTCAGGTGGACCATGGTTATTTTCAAAGAAGAAATTATTAGCTGAGCACAATGACTCATGACTATAAACCCAATGCTCTAGGAGCCTGAGGCAAGAGGATTGAGAGTTCAAGCCCACCCTGGGTAAATTAGTGACTTAGTGAGACATTATATCAAAATTTCAAAAGAGGCTAGAATATAGCTCAATGCTATATAGCTCAGTGCAAAGGCCCGTGGTTCAATTCTCAGTACTGGAGGAAAACAGAAAAAGCAACCAAAAGAAATGATCGGTACCTCCTCTACTTTTCGTTTTTTCTCCTGGGGGGGAGCAGCACTTCCGATTACTCTAGCAGACTGAGCTTTTAAAACTTCCCCCGTAGATCTCTGAAGAATGAAACACAAATGATCAGGTTTACAGTCGAGGGAAATTTAACAACCAGAACTAAAACATTCTACTGAATTCTTCTTAACAGCACTAGGAACAATACCTGTTTGTCAGTTTTCTCTCCGCCAGCAGTAGGGGAACTGCAGGTGAAGTCAGATGACAAAGCGGCTATAGCATCATCATCAGTCCCCATGGGTTCCTAAAGAAACACGCAGCAGGGTCCTAACTTATAGGAGTCATTCAAGTCAGAGAAGAGATGGCAAAATCAACAAAAGAAGAAAGTATTTTTGCATTCCTTCACTATCAAATGAGATATATGAATGGAATAACTCAGATCAAAGCTCATATTTGCAAAGAAATTGGTGTTCAATTTTCCTCTTCAACTCTTTAAAAATTACATGGTAGGATATATGCATTCTATTGTTACTAATCTTCTGATTTATTGTTATTGTTAATACTTTCTTGGCTCTATTCTCCCGCCTCTAAAAAAAGCTACACAGGAGGAGAAACAAAACTAATATGACGTCACACCATCTTCCTTCTCTGAACAGACAAAAACACCATCTGGTTTAGAAATGAGTTTAGTCATGATCCCCAACACAGAAATGGTAGCCCTCTTATCCCAACCAAAGATAAAGACAACACTGATTTGTATATTAGGAGCCCTTTGGGTAAACTCACCGATGAGTCTGGAAGAGGCCCTGTGACACCTTTTTTCTGAAAGAAATATTAATTAGATGAGGTTGAGAAGGCAAAATGTATCCCTAGTGTTTGATGGACAGAGCTGTGTCCTCCTCCAGGTTTATATGTTATAACTCTTAATACCTCAGAATGAGGCCTGATTTGGACACAGGGTCTTTGCAGAAGTAACCAAATAGACGAGAGGTGGGCTGTAATCCAATATGACTGACTTCGTTATGAAAAGGAATAGACACAGAGAAATGCACTGAAAGGAGGTGATATAAAGAAACCCAGGGGCTGGGGATTTAGCTCAGCGGCATAAGCGCCTGCCTTACAAGCAGGCAGTCGTGAGTTCAATCCCTGGTACCGATAAAAATGAAAAAGACCAAAAAAGAAACCCAGCAAATGACCATCAATAAGAGTAATGACCATCAAGTAAAGAGGTGTACAAAAGAGAACTTTCTGTGACAGCCATCAGCAGGAAGCAATCCTGCTGACAATGACTCTGGATGTCTAGCCTCCAGAATTGTGAGACAATCAATTTCTATTGTCTAAGCTGCACAGTCTGTACTGGGTACTTTGTTATGACATCACTAGCAAACTAATACATACAGAGAGCTTGTTGGTAATGACCATCTCATATGCCCTATTATATCCATTATACGCCCTGTAGAGTTTCATATGCCCTGTTAGATCTAAAATGTTCCTCTAAAGACTCATATGTCTGGAGGATGATGGTGGAATTTTTTCTTCAGTGGACTCACCCACTGATGAATTTAGTCACTGAATGAGCTATTTAGCAATGAGACCTGGTTGGAGGTGGGTCACTGTGGGGGGTGTGACTTGGAAGCCTGTATATCTCCCTCCCAAGCTCTCCCTCTTGCTCTCTACTTCCTGGCTGCCGTGGTTCAACCAGCTGTCCTCTGCCTTGGTCTTTCTACCATGTCATTTCTGCTGGGGAGGAAGGTGACTATGGACTCTCTCTTCTTTTAAGTTGTGGGTATCAGATATTTTATTCCAGTGACAGGAAAGTGAGTAAGAAAGGCCGATATCCAAAATTGTCCAGAGCTTAGAAAACCAGGATGCTAACAGAAATCCATAGTAAACATTAGGCTCACGAGGTTTCTGTTGGGAACAAGGACATCACTGGAAGTTGGACAAAAGCCATGTGTGTAACACTCTGACAGAAAATTAGTCTGTATTTTGCTCATGTACTGAGACTGCAGAAGACTGAATTAAGGACAGTAAACTAATTGATCTGGTGAAGTAAATTTCAAAGTAGCCCAATGTTTAGGCTGTCACACGAGTACTGCTAGCTAGCTTTAACCAGATCTACAGTGAAAAAACAGGAACAAACAGTAGAGTACAATGATTTAAAAAAGTCTGGAGTTTTGCCAGAAAGGAAGTATCTGAAATGGTACAAAGGAAAGTATACATGTTAAAAAGATCAGCATTTTAAAAAACCCACATCATTATATCAGGACAATTAAAAAAAGATGCCTTAAAGTAGAATCTTTGGAATGAGCAAAAGCCAGTGCACCACAGGCTCAAAAATTTAAAGCTTTCATTTGAGAAAAGGTTCTCTGGCAAGTGAGAGTGAAGCTAAAAGTGCAATGGAAAATCCAGGAAGTTGGAGATGCCAGGAATGTGGAACATTTGCTGAGAAAAGTTGCAGGGAGTGATCAGGGCCAAGTAGGCTGCCAAGCAATGCCATAGGGCTAGGATTGCTCAAGCCCTTTGGAGCTCAAATCCCACCACAATCTCTCCTGGATATTAAATATGGAGCCTCAGGATTTAATGTTTGCCCTGCTGGGTTTCGGTCTTTCTTTGGTTTTATTTCTGTCTGTCTACCCCTATATGCCTCCTTTCTGGAATGGGAATGTTTACTCTGCCACTGGATATTTGAAAATGTTTTTCTTTTTGATTTTTACAAGGACTCACACATAAGAGTTTGCCTTGCGTCTTGAGAATCTGGACTTGAACTTTTCAGCAATATTGGAATTTTTAAGACTTTGGCAATCTTAAAAAAGGTCTTAATGCATTCTACATAATGAGACTGACATGAGCCTTGTGGCAGCAAGACAGAATGTTATTTAAAATGTCTCCCCAAAAGCCTTGTGTGTTTTGAGGGTGACTGGATCATGGGGGTACTATACCCACCAGGGCATTCATCCAGTGATTTGTACAGTAGCTGAATGCGACATCTGGAGGTCGGGTGTGGTTAGACTAAGACATGTCCCATTACATTTTCTAAATTTTAAAAACTGTGAAGATATTCATCACATTCCATAAAGGAAAGAGTGAAATAAAAGTAACTGATTACTTACAGCCAAAAGTTCCCTGTATTTTGGAGGAATTGTGATCTCCCTTTTACCCAGTTCCTCAATGTAGGTAGAATACATTGGATCCTGGAAAAAATTATACATATAGGGATATTAAGTAACTAATAAACTGAGAATATTATACTCATGTTTGAAAGATATATTCCATTATTAACTTTGAAACTAATGAGATGTACTATAAATCATTAAAGATTTGATATTTTTAAAACTCAGAAGATCTACGTTTACGAAAGTATCCATGTTTAGTTAGCTTAACTTCGATAATGCTAGGAAATACTTAAAATACTATACTACATTTGAATTTCATATAAAAAATCTATTTTTTCAATATCTAATGTTTCTAAGTACATTCAAAAATTAGCAGCATAACTAATTTCTGTATAACAACATACAGCTTTACCAGATTTTTAGTGATTTCTTACCTGTGTCTACAAAAGTAAAGTTAGTAACATAATTAATTTCTATATAACCCAGTGTACAGATTTATCAGATTTTTAGTGATTTCTTATGCAATGTCTCAGAAAGCAAATTCATAAAGCCATGAATAGTTTTGTTTTGTTTCATTTTGGTGTTTTTGGTACTGGGAATTGAACCCGTGGCCTTGTTCTTGCCAGGCAGGTACTGTGCCATTGAACCATATCCCTGGTCCAACAAAATCACAGATAAGAGTGAATGTCTCCCGTTTGGCCCTCTCCAATGTGGTTCCCTTTCCTTGTAACCCAGAGATAAACACCACCCTGAATTTTATCATTTCCATCCATTTGAAGTTTATCATATTTTAAAAAAATTGTTACATATGTAAGTATTCATATATAACATTCTTTTGCAAATCAAATTTTATATAAATATCATATATATATATATAATTCTGTATTTATCTTAACAGATATTATAATGTAACCATGTTAAAACACAAGCAATCCATTTTCAGCACTACAAAGCACTGCCTATTATCCTGTCATCTGCTGAACAAAATTGTTTCCCAGTGTTTGACCAGTTTTTATCACTCTTTGTACATTAGGGCAAGACTCTCTCTCAAAGTGTATGCCGACTAAAGGAGACACGTAACTTCAGCACCCACCAGCTACAAGTGACTACAGACTTTTACACATTTCCCAAGCGCTAAAGCTTAAACGTTATCTGTCCATGTTTTAATATCACTTTCCTAATTACTAGGGAGGCTTTCATCTCACTTGTTCACTGCCTGATAAAGTGTCTTCCACTTTTCCTTTGGATAGCCTTTCTTTTACTGTCTTTATTCCTTACATACTCTAAATAAATCCTTTTTTATGTCTATTAAAAATACTTTCATTTAGTCTATGTCATGTCTTATAGAAACATTACTGCTTTTTAGGAATTAGGAAGAGAGATAAGCTGAGGACAGTAAATTGTTTAGAAGTCAAAATAACTTCAAAACGCAGGATGGGAAGTATTTAGAAGTGAAAATAAATTCAAATCCACTGGAGTTGGGCTGGGGATTTAGCTTGGCGGCATAAGCACCTGCCTTGCAAGCGTGCAGTTGTGAGTTTGATCCCCAGTACCAAAAAAAGAAAAAAAAAATCCACTGGAGTTAGTCTTGAGAAAATAAGTCTCTCTCATGCAGTGCGCTATATGAAAATGCCAATGTTAACACAAACAAACGTTTTCTGAATCAATGTAATTGTATAGCTACCATCAGACAAATCATTCTTATCCCTAACACTAATCTTAAATTGCTATTAGCAATAGTGACATCATCCTATTTCTATCCAAGCAACAGAACAGTAGGTGTTTTCTGGGACTTCATAACCATGGCCTTATTTGCTCTCACTCACTGAGTATGAATTTTTACAGATATCAGATTACACACCGAAATTTCTGGTCCAGTATATCGTGTATCATCTTCGTTAGTTTCTTCAGGTGCTCCTAAGGTGTCTATTAAGTCATCCAAAGCAGCATCAATTCCTGACTGGAAGTGAAAGAGAGTCAAGATACTTAACTGTTATTTGTTAAACAGATTTCACTTTTTAAGCAGTTTTTTATTTAAAAAATACTGTTCCATGTAGCAAAACATCAAACATCAAAAGTTTTTCAAGTAAGATAGTTAAAATACAGTCTCATCTGATGAAATCTCAGAGTACAGATTAGGATTGAAAATATTTTTAAAAAACATACATTTAGGTAAAAATCCACTATTTTCACTATTCCAAAGCCAACAACTACATGAAAAAAATGTATGAATTCATTGGAGCTGCCAATCCAATGTACTGTTAAAAAGAAAAAAAAACACCACTAAAACAAAGTACTGCAACTATGTTCTATAACAATATGGTTGTTGGTACTGATTGTTTATCAATAGTTTTCCCAAAGAAATTAAAACAAAACACATCTTCCAAAAAAAATCTATTTCAACAATGGATTTGCTGGTATTTTCAGATATTTAAATTCTTTTGTTCGTCTCTTGTCTAAAGGTGTTTGTGAAACAGAGATTACCTGAAAGAGATGTTAAATTTACAACAGCTGACTGTTTATTTGGTCAATATGGGCTACGTCAATATAATGAATGAGAAGGTGCCTCCCCCTCATTTTTGAAGTTATGGATGACTCACTGGGAACAATAATCTGTATCTGAAAGGGTAAAAATCTAGGAAAAGACCTTTTACTATGTAACTCAGATTGTAAAGGATTGTTTAAAATGATTGCCTTTTTTTTCACCTATCATTCACACAACAATTTTAGAACTTACTTGGTCAATGATATGTATAATAGAATTTAGGTTCTATTAACTTTAGATTGATTTGAGGAGTGGTGGATTTCTGGATAAAAAAACACCTTATATTCCTGAGTCATATATCTGGTTAAAGAAGATATATTTGCATGAGATAAGTTGGAATGTAAACTCCATGACATCAAACTGGAGTTTTCAAAATAGAGGATTGCAATATAAAATATTACAAATACAGATGTGAAAGTCACACTTTCAGCCACTTAGATATGCGTGCTGGAAATACTAAGTCATTAAAATACTCCTTTAAATTATCCTTCTTATATTGTCTGCCCACAAGAAATCAAGCTGAGATAAGTATAAAGCGAGAGGATGATTATCTTGTGTAGAAGTGCACCGTGATCTCCATACCTTTCCAGACGATTTATCTGGTTTGGATTCAACTGGTGCAGTTGGCGTTAATGATTTCTCTTCTTTTTTCTGCTGAGAGTTCAGAAAGACATTAAAAACTCCTTTTCACACACCCTCATAAAACTCAGCACAATTACGTTTTCAAATGGTTTCATTGCGATATTAGTGGCACTGATGATACACTGAATCCCTGCTCTGCAACAAATATTATATGTGTTATGTCTGTTCTCAGAACTGCTTAATAATATTAATCTTACTGGTGTGGAAAGAAAAGGTCTGACAAATTAAGTAGCTCTCCTCAAGTTACCTAGTAAAGCACAGAACCAAGATTTGAATCTAAGACATGTGTCTCTAATCACCATCTTCTCCAAGCCCCATCGCCAGTCGATGAAGAATCAGTGAACCCACGAATCCTTCTCTACGCTAATTCCAGCCACTGCTCTCTGTGTCTTTGTGCCCACAGATGAAAAGCCCCATATTGCTTGCGTTGGTATCTCAATACTCTTTCCCCTTCATTTCCCTACTGCGAGTCCCTCTCCTTGTCACCAGTGCTATAGTGTGTCTTTCAGAGATGGTCACTGACTTTCCAATCAGCAACATCCACACCTCTATCCAGGCGTAATCTCTACAATTCAGTCCTCAGGAGCACACACCTCCTGACTTATCCCTCACAGCTGCTGAAGCCGAGCACCATTCTGATCCTACTCTGGTGTTTTCTGTCACCTCTGGATCCCTTCTACTTTGTTACCAAGTGCACATATTATGCACATTCCTGCTCCACACTGAAAGTTCCACTCAAAATTACTTTTTAGGCACAGGGACCAAACATTTTCAGCGTTTGGCAGGTAAGTTTGTTATTGAGACAAAATATCTGACACCACAAATGGAAAAAGGAAAGGTTTATTTAGCTCACAGCTTGTGGAGGTTTCAATTCATAATCAGCTGGCCATAATCAGCCTATGTCCATGGTGGCAGAAAACAGCAAAGGCAACGAGGGCAAAAGGATCATGGAGAGAAGGCTTTTTAAATCCCTTAAATTGTGGGTAGGCCACACCACCTTAGGGTGGTGGTTGTAGCACTCACACCCATAAACCCAGCACTGGACCATGAATCAGTCACAAACTCCAGAAGCCTGCCCCCATGACTGCATGAGGCTTTGGGTGGACATCCAGACACAAACCATAACAAGGACCGTGTGTCATTTCAAGGTATCTGAATTCCGTGATAGAGTTAAAGAAACTACTGCAAAACTTACTAAAGTTCTGGAAAACTCAATATATAAGCATAGTTTTGAGTCCTCAGAGCCAATTACTTGGTTTCTGTTAAACCTGTTGAAAAAAATGTTTAGTTCTCAAACTTCTTAGTGTTCAAACACAAATTTGGGACAAACTGAGTTCAACAACCAAGGTATCATCACATTTGATTTGATTAAAGCAATTCTTTGTGAAAGAAAGTGGAATCTCAATGTAGATTTAATTTGCTCTGCCCTAATGGCCAGATATAATCGACATTTTTTTCATGTATTTATTGGCCATTTGTACTTTATTTCCTGAGAGGTGTCTATTAATATTAGTGGCCATTTTTTTTGAGTAGGTCTTTTATTTTGAGGGGTCTAATCTTTTTGAGTTCTTTAAATATTCTTGGTATTAGCCCTTTTCTAAGGTGTAGTAGCTGACCATTTTTTTCCCATTCTGTAGGTTGTTTCTTCACTCTATTGTTTGTTTCCTTTGTATGCAGAAGTTATCAGAAGTATGCAGACTATCACATTTGTTGATCTTTGATACTATTTCTTGTACAATTGTGACTCTGTTCAGAAAGTCCTTGCCTATGCCTAAAATTTCAAGAGTTTTACCTATTTCATTTCCCAGTAGGTTGCTCTTGTTTTAATATCTAGATCTTTGATCCATTTTTAATTTTGAGAATGATGAAAGATATGGACTTAGATTCAGTCCTCTGCATGTGGATAGCCAGTTTTTCTAGCACCGTTTACTGAAGGCTATCTGTCCTTCAGCATATGTTTTTTACTCCTTTGTCAAGGATAAGATACTGAATGTGTCTGGAATTGCCTCTGTGTCCTCAATTTTGTTCCTGTGATCCAAATGTATATTTTTGTGACATTAACATACTACTTTTATTTTTTTTAAAAGACTTATTTATTTAGTCTTTTTGAGACAGGGTCTCACTATGCAGTTCAGGCTGGCCTTGAACTCACTAGGTAGCCAAGGTTGGCCATGAACTCACAGTAATCCTGCCTCAGCCTCCCGAGTACTAGAATTACAGGCATGCACCATTATGCCTGGTTTAACATGCTGTTTTTAATCACTGTAACTTTGCAATGTAATTTGAAATCCAAGATTGTGATGCTTCTGCTTTGGCTTTCTTGCCCAAGATTGATTTTGCTATTCTGGGTCTCTTCTAGGTCCATCTGAATTTTAGGATTGTTTTCTCTATTTCTGTAAGAAATGTTTTTGGTATTTTGACCTGAGTTGCATTACATTTGTATATGAGATTTGAAAATATAGCCATTATGATAAATTATTTCTGCCTATCCAGGAACAGGAATATCCTTCCATTTTCTAATGTCCTTTTAGCTCTGCTTTTTCAGAGTATCACAGTTTTCACTGTAGAGGTCCTTCACTTCTACGGTTAGGTTAATTTCTAAATATTTGATACTTTAATGCTATTATAAAAGGTACTGTTTCTCAAAGCAGAGAGAGAATGCAATATTTACACATGAGTCTGATTTATTTCACTTAAGGGTATAGTCTTAAGGTGCACCCATGATGCTAGAAATGCATCAAGCTTATTCTTCTTTATGGCAGATTAGCAATAAACTGCATGTGTAAATAAAGACCAAACTATATAATAGATATTGTGCAATAGAAAGAAAATGGTCAAATGGGAAGGAGAAGTAGAAGGGGAGAGGAGGAAAGGAAGGATGGGAAAAGAAAAAAGTAAGAAAAAAAGGAAAAAACAGAAATGAAGCTTTTGTGAATAGGGAAAGTAAAAGGGGTTGAAGGGAGGGTAGGGGAATAAGGAAAAGAAATCAAGTGATATCATGTACAGGTACAAATTCCCTGTGATGAATGTGATCATCATATATAACTAAAATGTACCGATATACTTAATAAAAAAAGTATTGTCTTCTTAATTTATTTCTCAGTAAGTTTACCTCTGGTATACAGGAATGCTACTGACTTTTGTGTATTGACTACGTATCCTGTAATATTGTTGAATTTGCTTATTTGAGTCTTTTGGATAGTCTATGTAAAGGATCATGTCATCAACAAATAATTTGAGTTCTTTCTGTCCTATATGTATTCCTTCTATTTATTTCTCTTGCCTGTTTGAGGTAATGTTTTGAGTACCATAATGAACAGGAGTAGTGACAGTGGTCATCCTTGTCTTGTTTTTCATTTTGATTCATTGATTCTTCGGACAGATCCTTAGTTTCTGTGTGCTGCCACTTGACAGTACACATGGGGTGATTTTGATTGCTTTGTCATCATTTAAGCAGGATTTAGGGACTAGTATGTCGTTTCTTGGAGAAAATTCCATGTTGTACTGAAAAGAACGTTTACTGTGTTGTTCCAGGGTAAACACTCTGTAGATAGCTATGAAGTCTATTTGTTGGAATATGTGATTCAGCTCTAATATTTGCTTTATACTGTTGTTTGTTTAGTTGATCCATTTGTGAAAGTGAGGTATTAAGGTCATGCACTATAATTGTGTTGGTGTTTATTGGATCTTCTATGTTCATAAGTGTTTATGAAGTTAATGAAGTACAAAGGATATATATTTACAATTGTTAACTCTTCCTGTTGAATTATTTCTTGAATTAATATTTAGTGGTATTTGGTTCCTCTGATCAGTTTAACCTGTTGTTTACTTTGTCTGAGAAAACTGTGACCCTTACTTATGGGGTCCTGGTGCATGGAACTTTATTTTTATTCTTTAACTTTTGGTCTATGAATTTCTTTTTAGATTACAGTTTCTTGAATGCAGGAGACTGCTGATTTCTGTTTTTTGATCATTCTGCCAATTTGTGTCTATTAGCTAGAAAGTTGAGATCATTTACATCTGGAGTTATTAACTGAAAGTGTTGACTTATTCTTGCATTGAGTTCTTTTTTTGTTGTAGTTGTTGATTCCTTTATTTTCCCTTTTTGTTTATCTACTCACCTTGCTACATGTATATTTATTCACCCCACTCTTTGGTTTCGCTGGATTCATTGTCCGTGTCTAAAATATGCTTGAGTAGGTTTTAGAGTACTCATCTAGCGTTAATGAGTTTCTTAAAGTGTTCTTCACCATGGAAAGTCCTTATTTCTCTATCGATTTTGAAAGACAGTTTTGAAAGATATATTAGTCTGGGATGTAAGGTATTTTCTTTTAGTTTTTAAACATTTTATCCCAAGATGATCTGGCTTTCAAAGTTTGTGCTGAAAAGTCTGCTGTAATCCTTTCAGGTTCAGGTTTGCCTTTATATCTGATGTTTTGCTTTTATTTGACAGCTTTTAAGATACAGTCTTTATGCTAGGCTTCTGCGATTTATGCCTACGATATGGGAAATTTCTTTTTTCATTGTACTGATGTTGTTTAAGCCTTGCTTACCTGTTTGTTGGGTTCTTTCCCCACACTTGGACAGTTCTCTGCTATGTTTCCAATGAACTGATTTTTTCATTCCATGTGTGCTGTCCTCTAATTTGTAACTCTAGCTAGCTTTTAGTTCAGTCTTAGCATCACAAAGCAGCCACTGGATGAAATTTTCATTTTTGAGGTTTCTCTAAGTACATCATCATGTGATCCCATTTTGTCCTTGATTTCTGAAACTCTGTCCTCACATCACCTATTTCTGTTTTTCACGAAATCAATAGAATTTTTATCTCTGGAATTCCTGTTCAGCACCTTTTCATGGAATCTACTTGTTTGGTAAATTTGTCATTCACCTTTTGAAAAATTTTGGTCAGTTTTTCCAATTTTTTATTTGCTTCTCTGTATCTCTATTGGTCAGTTTGTCTCAAGTTGCACCATCTTTCGAGTTACATCATCTTTGAGCTTGCTAAGTTTCTT